TATATGAAAAGCCCACAGCAAATATCATTCTCAACAGGGAAAAACTGAGAGCTTTTCCCCTAAGGTCAGGAACACGGCAGGGATGTCTACTATCACCACTGTTGTTCAACAGAGTACTAGAAAGCCTAGCCTCAGCAACCACACAACAAAAAGAAATAAAGGCATTCAAACTGGCAAAGAAGAAGTCAAACTGTCACTTGTCACAGATGACATGATACTCTATGTGGAAAACCCAAAAGACTCCACCCCAAAATTGCTAGAACTCATACAGAATTCAGCAAAGTGGCAGGATACAAAATCAATGCACAGAAATCAGTTGCATTTCTATACACTAACAATGAGACAGAAGAAAGAAAAATTTAGGAATTGACCCCATTTACAACTGCACTAAAAACCATTAGATACCTAGAAATAAACCTAACCAAGAAGCAAAGCATCTGTACTCTAAAAATTATAAAACACTCATGAAAGAAACTGAGAAAGACACAAAGAAACGGAAAAATGTTCCATGCTCATGGATTGAAAGAACAAGTATCGTTAAAATGTCTATGCTTCCCAGAACAATCTATAGGATCAATGCAATCCCTGTCAAAATACCATCACCATTTTTCTTAGAGCTGGAACAAATAATCCTAAAATTTGTTTGGAACCAGAAGAGACCCCGAATAGCCAAAGGAATGTTAAAAAAGAAAAAAAAAAAAAAAAAAGCTGGTGGCATCACAATGCCTGACTTCAAGCTCTATTACAAAGCTGTAATTATCAAGACAGTATGGTACTGGCACAAAAACAGACACACAGATCAATGGAACAGAACAGATAACCCAGAAATGGACCCTCAAATCTGTGGTCAACTAATCTTCAACAAAGCAGGAAGGAATATCCAATGGAAAATAGTCTCTTCAACAAATGGTGTTGGGAAAATTGGACAGCCACATGCAGAAGAATGAAACTGGACCATTTTCTTACCCCACACACAAAATTAAATTCAAAATGGATGAAAGACCTAAATGTGAGACAGGAATCCATCAAAATCCTAAAGGAGAACACAGGCAGCAATCATCTTTGACCTTGGCTGCAGCAACTTCTTGCTAGACACATCACCAAAGGCAAGGGAAACAAAAGCAAAAATGAACTATTGGGACTTCATCAAGATAAAAAGCTTTTGTACAGCAAAGGAAACAGTTGACAAAACCAAAAGACAACTGACAGAAGGGGAGAAGATTTTTGCAAATGTTTTATCAGATAGAGGGCCAGTACCCAAAATCTATAGAGAACTTATCAAACTCAACACCCAAGAACAAATAATCCAATCAAGAAATGAGCAAAAGACATGAACAGACATTTCTGCAAAGAAGACATACAAATGGCCAACAGACACATGAAAAAATGCTCAACACTACTTGGCATCAGGGAAATCCAAATCAAAACCTCAATGAGATACCACCTCACACCCGTCAGAATGGCTAAAATTAACAAGTCAGGAAACAACAGATGTTGGCGAGGATGCGGAGAAAGGGGAACCCTTCTACACCGTTGGTGGGAATGCAAGCTGGTGCAGCCACTCTGGAAAACAGTATGGAGGTTCCTCAAAAAGTTAAAAATAGAGCTACCCTATGACCCTTTAATTGCCATACAAGGTATATAGCCCAAAGATACAAATGCAGTGATCCGAAGAGGCACCTGAACCCCAGTGTTTATAGCAGCAATGTCCACAATACCCAAACTATGGAAAGAGCCTATTATGTCTGTCGACGTTTGGATGGATAAAGAAGATGTGGTGTATAATGGAGTATTACTCAGCCATCAAGAAAACGAAATCTTGCCATTCGCAACGACCTGGATGGAACTAGAGGGTGTTATCCTAAGTGAAATAAGTCAATCAGAGAAAGACAATTATCATATGATTTCACTCATATGTGGAATTTAAGAAACAAAACAGAGGAGCACAGAGGAAGGGAGGGAAAAATAAAATAAAACAAGATGTAATCAGAGAGGGAGACAAACCATAAGAGACTCTTAATCATAGGAAACTGAGAGTTGTTGGAGGGGAAGGGGGTGGGGGGATGGGGTAACTGGGTGATGGACATTAATGAGGGCACGTGATGTGAACACTGGGTGTTATATGCAACTGATGAATCACTGAACTCTACCTCTGAAACTAAAAATACATTACATGTTAATTAACTGAATTTAAATTAAAAAAGAAAAGAAAGAAAACAAAACACAGGAACAAATCTTTATGGCCTTGGATTTGGCAAAGATCTCTTAAACATGACACCAAAACCCAATCCATAAAAGAAAAAGAAATTATCAAAATTTTAAATTTCTGTTTTTTGAAGAAAAAGACAAGCCAGGACTGGAAGAAAGTATTTCACAAGGACTTGTAATCTAGAATATATAAAACCACTTAAAAATAAGAAAACAAAAAATTCAGAAAATGGGCAAAAGATATAAACTGACATTTCATCAAAGAAGATCTATGAATGACACATACATACATTGGAAGACACTCTATACCCATTAGCCATTAAGGATACCATACACAGCTATTAGATTGGGGGGAAAAGCCCGATGATACCAAACGCTGTTGAAGATGTAGAGTAACTGTAACTCATACATTGCTGGTGTGAAAACAAAATGGTATAGTCACTTTGGAAAACTGTGGAACTTTCTTAAAAAGTTAAATATACATTTGCCATATGACCAAACAGTTCTACTTCTAGGTATGTATCCAAGAGAAATAAAAACTTAGGTTCACTGCAGCATTTTTTGTAATCACAAAAAATCAGAAACAACCCAATGGGAATTTTACTCAGCAATAAAAAGGAACAAACTACTAATGTACACAACATCATGGATGAACCTAAATGCATTATGCTGAGTGAAAAAGCCTAGACTCAAAAGTCCACACATATATTCTTCTGTTTATAGGACATTCTGGAAAAAAAACAATTTTAGAGATGGATCAGTGATCACCAGGGCTGACAGTAAGGAAGGACTGTGAAGGGGTTTTTTGGGATGATGTTACTGTTCTATATCTCGATTGGCGTAATGTTTACATGACTGTATCTGCCAAAGCAAAGTGAATTTTATTAAACATCAATTAATAAAGTAAAAGTAAAATATATCTATTTATTATATGTGAATTCTATATCAATAGAACAGACCTTCTTTGAAAAAAGTAATCTAGCATAACACTAAATTTTAAGATTTTTTTTTAAGACAGCAACATAAAAACCCTGAAAGATGAACACATCCTATTTGTTTCAAGCAAGTCAAGTAGGTCAAGTGGATTTTATTAAAATTAGGGCTGTCACAACTTCTACACTAAAGGGCATTTAGAAGACCCGGTTTCTGCCTCTGATTCTGCCAATCAAGTAATACATAGAGTAACAAAATATTTATTTCACTTTATTTTTCTGCTTCTACGTTCCTTATCTTTAAAATGTGAAAAAGCATTCCTAACCTCAAGGTACCTGCAAGCACCAAGAGAGGACAAGTGGCCTATACGGCCTAGGAGTGCTAACAATACGGACTCAGCTTGGGCCTTCCGTCTGATTCACGTTTGCTCAGTGACCACTCTTGGGGCTCCATGTTTCAGGCCCCTTGGAAATGAATATACATACCCTAGAATCCCCCACCAAGGCCCAGATGGAGGAGGCCCGCTCTGGCCTCCCATGAATCTGTTATGGCTAACATGGTCTTCCCCCTTCCTGATGCACAGGTGGTATCACAAGATCGAATTAAAGGTTAGCTATCACTTAGGTGCATGCAAGCCCTTTGAGGTGTATGCAAACCCTTCCATCTCACTACCATGCCCTTCTGTGTGTCTCCTCATTCTATAGAATCTGGGCACTAAGGTCTGGATTTTGCAGAGAGTAACTCTGCAACTACCATGGGTTGTCCTCCGCCTGATCCCCCCTATCAGTAAATTGTCCTGAATAAAACTCTGTGTCAACTGTTTGGAGTAGCCTGCTTCATCTGCTGATCTCAAAGGGCCTTCTCAGTTTGGGGGATACTCTACTGTCTCTCCACCTTCTAACAACGGGTGATATATAAAAATATGTATAGGGTCAGCCAACTAAATATAGACGTATTATCACATTAAATTCCATCAGAGCTAAAACCGAAATATCAGCCTTAATAAAACCCAGTCACTACAAATGGTAACAGAAAAGGGAAAGTAAATTATCTGGAGCAGAATTAAGAAAGTAAAATAGACAACAAGAATCACAAATACATGAACAAAAAACCTAGAATGTTTGCTAATGGGACTATATTGGGCTTTCTGTAAATTGTTCCTTTCTTTGGGGAAGGGCACAAAAATGTTCTTTTAAAAGGGACTATTGTAGGTTATCTTTGCATATTAATGAATGCAATTATCTTGTTTTAAAAAACACTAAAACACATCAAGTGCTTGCTATGTGTCAGCACTAAGTGCTTTACATATTATTAACTAATTTAATTCATAAAAACCGTAAGATAACACCAAATGTACTTTGGGAAGTAATTTCCTAACATTCATATGCTTGATGGAAAAGCTTCAGCAAGTCCCAATACAGTGAAAGAAAAACATTTAAATCAATAATGCTGAATTTGAAAACATTCCTAAGAAATCCCCGGAAGGATAATTTGTCTTCTTCCATAGGTAAAATATGTGCCCTTATCCTTATTCAAGAAGCTATCGTTGGGTCTTAAAAGCAAGGTAAGGGAGTAAAATAAAATGACTACTCACTTTGCTTTTAGAGGAGGAGATTCCGCTCCTTTTTTTTAATGTTCTCAGATACAAATCACCAGCAAGACCACAAAGCAGGCGCTGAACTGTGGAGCGCCTTGGGGGACAGCGTCTGTGAGCACACGGGTGTGTCTGTGTGTCCCCAGCGAAGAGTGGTACTTAACACATGCTTTAACGTGGATAAGACGGTAAGACGCGGCAGCCCTTGCCCTGGGCCCCAGGCGTTAGAAGGCCTTGCTTTTCTTTGGCCTTTCTCCAGCTTTATTCCTGCCTGCAGGCCAAAGATTCCGAGGGAACTTCTAGAACACACTCCAGAATACCAAAGGCCCTGAGATTCCTGATCCAAATTGGCTCCAAAACTGTTCCCAAGGTCCTCCTTGCTAAAGGACCTTGCCACCGATATATATGCCACAAGGCTGAGGAATGACCAAGTAGGGCTGTTGCGTGGGCATACGGACGTACCGACGGCCCTCCCCACACACACGCACCCAGGTCCCCAAAACGGTACAAGAGAATCAGCTCTCCCCTGCCTTCGTTTTCTAGGAAAGGAACTCGCAGGAATCTTAGAGGTGATCAGAGCCGACCCCACAAGAGTAAAGCAGCAATACCGGGCCAACGCCAGCTGTGGGTCATGCAGACAAAGACCAAGACAGACGTACTGACAGTTGTACAGAAGGGCCTGAGTGGGATAGAGGAGCAAACTGAAAAAGGCTGAGGCCATCCAAGCAGTTCCTAAAAAGGGGCCTTGGGCACCTGCTGCCATTCCCAGCCCAGCTTTACAGGGGGCAGGTAAGTGGGCAAGCGGGGGGCAGGGTATCTAGGAGACGGCTTTTGACGTCAGCTGCAGTGCTGGGGAGACGGCAGGGTAGCAACAGGGGGAGGCTGGCGCAGTCTGGGGGGCAAGGCCGTCAGCTGATGGTAGACAGCCAGTCAAGGGCTGGCGATAAAAGGGCGGGGCCGCGGCCGACGTCACTGCCGCGGCCGACGTCACCGCCACTTGCCGCATCCGCAAGATCTCTCTAGTGCAGCTCGGGTGCAGGTCTCTGCGGGAGCCACCCTAGACCTCTACAGCTTCTTCTGTAACATGGCTGACTCGGAAAACCAGGGGCCTGCGGAGCCAAGCCAGGCGGCGGCGGCGGCAGCGGCGGCGGCGGCGGCAGCGGCAGAGGCTGCCGCGGCGGCGGCAGAGGAGGTAATGGCGGAAGGCGGTGCGCAGGGGGGAGACTCTGACAGCGCGGCTGGTGACTCCGACAGCGCAGCTGGTCAGACGGCTGAGGAGCCCCAGACCCCTGCAGAGAATGCACCAAAGCCTAAAAATGACTTTATTGAGAGCCTGCCTAATTCGGTGAAATGCCGAGTCCTGGCCCTCAAAAAGCTGCAGAAGCGATGCGATAAGATTGAAGCCAAATTTGATAAGGAATTTCAGGCTCTGGAAAAAAAGTATAACGACATCTACAAGCCCCTACTTGCCAAGATCCAGGAGCTCACCGGTGAGATGGAGGGGTGTGCATGGACCTTAGAGGGGGAGGAGGACGACGACGACGAGGAAGAGTACGAGGATGAGGAAGAGGGGGAAGAGGAGGAGGAGGAGGAGGAGGAAGCTGCAGCAGAGGCTGCTGCGGAGGCGGCGGCTGCCAAAGACGAGGGTCCCCACTCTGCGGTGTCTGATGACGCCAAGAAATAAGCGGGGGCAGAGATTGAACAGGAGAATGACGACGAAAACAAAATCCCTATTTTTTTTTTTTCAGTATTGGTGGACTTAAAAATAAGGCTCAGGTTTGGGACCAAAATACAATGTGAATCAATTCTGACATTCCTACCTAAAATTATATTAAATTGAAGCAATCAGATCCTGGCCAGCCCGTTTCAAATTTTTCATTTTGAACACAATAAATATATCAAAAGGTGTTGAAGAAAACAAGTTAAATTTAAAATGATTTTTTTCATGATCTCTTCTGCACAGACTGCAGTTGAGGCTTATTAAGGGTGTCAAGTAGATGTGAAGTAAAGAATGTCACTTTGAAATCTATTCATTCCACTGTCATCACACTACACACGGAACACCCAGACCAAGACTGAACATGTTCTCAATGCTTAATTCTTCAGTTTCTTTAGTCTGGACATTTTCCAGTGCAGAAAAAACAGAACCCAGAAGAATCTCATCTTTAAGACTTTGCTTTTGTAACCCACACATCAGCTTTACACTTCAGAGAAGAGTGATGGAATCATGGAAGCCTGTGATGGAGATCATGACAGTACTGTTTAATGAGACCTGGAAAACTGCCACTTCAGATTCTAAAGAATGTTCTAAATGTTTGAATTTAGACAAGCAACATGGTTCTGAGAAGGAGGGTGTATAACCTGTATAATATTGTCAACATATGTGTTCGTTATTTACAGTCTCATGTTTATGTGTTTTCTTGGTAGTGTCTATTTACAAAGGTGTAAAAAAAAAAACCCAAATGTTTAAGTATTAAATCCCTTTACCTAGCATTCTAGAAATATTAATTTACTTGAAAAGATTCGTAGAATGTAGCAAATCCCGTAAAGCATGTGTATTCAGTGTTATGTAGTTTGATCCTTGTGAAGTCTTTTTTGTCATGTAGCTTTTAGAATGTAGCTGTGAAAATTATCAGAACTCTTCAATGAAGCTCATGTTTGGAAAAAATAAATACTTGAAGAACCAATCCAAGTGTGTGTCCCCACCCCCAGCTCAGAAGTAGAAGGGTTTCAGTTTGCTTGTATTAGCTGTGCCTTCATTATTTTGCTATGTAAATGTGACATATTAATAAAAAATGGTGCATATTCAAATTTTACTGCTTGAGGACAGACTGTATACAGTTAAGGATTTTCAGGAAGGACACATTAAATGTAAAGACTCTTAGCTTCTTTGTGGGTTTTGAATTTTGTGTGACTCAGTGATCTATAAAGAAACATAAGCATAAAGTTGTTTACCACTGTAGTATTAATAAAACAGTATTTTCAAAAAACAAAAGGACTCAAATACTCTGCCTGCCTGCAATCAAATCCCAGCTCTGCCTCCTATAAGCAATGAACCTTAGGCAATTCAGTTGATCTATTTCAGTTTCTCCTATAAAAGGGGATAGTAACAGCCCCTTCCTCACAATTATGGAGAATAAGTCAGTTAATACACAAAGTCTGTAGGATAGTGTCTGACACATACTCAGTGCTCAAGAAATTACAGCTATTATTTATTATTTTTTTATTATTACATGAAAGATAAAGACACTGATTGGAAATTCAATTGTTCTTCCCTCCCCAGGTACAAAAGGGGGAAAAAAGAGACATCATTATATTCTTAAGTTTATCATTCCTCATCAGAGAAGAATGTGGCCTTTAATTTAGACAAAGGAAATTCAATTACCTATCTCGTTTTGGTTTCCTCAATATAAAATCAGGTTTTAATTTCCTCCCAGAAGAGAGAAAAGACTTTTAATGTGATATTATGCATATGTAAAAAAGTCTACTTAAACTTTACATCTGGGCATCCTGAATGAAGCAAAATAATTTAAAAATTAAAGACCCCCCCTTAAAAATTAAAAACTCAGATGCATTTTCTTCCATTTCTCTAAAGCGTTAAAATTACACAAGTGAAATTATGCTGCTTTACCTTAAGGATTGGAAGGCAGATCTGACCTGTTGCTAATGGCGATAGTAGAGTTAAACCTTAATGTAATAATAATCATCCTTACGGCCAGGCAACCGAAAGAGAAAATCAAAATAACATATTATCTAAGAAGTCAATGATTATCTTAATCATAGGATTATCCTAATAGAAGCAAAAACTAATAAAATTTAATATTTTTTCTTATCTCTAGGAGACTTTAATATTCTAGGTCCATCTAGTAAAAAAGCAAAAATGAATGAAATAAGGAGTGCAATTACTGGGGGAAAAGTTTTTTGCAGGTCTATAATATATAGAAAACCCAAGAGAATCAACTGAAAATTATTAATACTGAATAAAATTGAGCAAGTGACCAGTTGCCAGATAAATATACAAAAACCATTAGTTATTTCTAGGTACCAATAATGATCAAAACACATGGAAAGACTTTCACAATAGAAATAAGAAAAATATTTATAAAAACCTCTAATAAAAAATATGTGTAACCTATGTGAAAAGGAAAAACAAAATCAGAAAGAAATGTAAAACAGGCCTTTGGCTGGTAAGACTGAATACCACAAAAGTGTCAATTCTTCCCAAATTAACTTTTAATTTATCACACTTCAAATCAAAACCCAAACTGGATATGATTAATCTAATGTTCACCTGTAAGAATAGCTAAGGAAACTAGCAATATGGGAACAATTCAGATTTTTACCTTAGACTACAGACCTCCCAACCCCGCCCGAAATTTTTTTAAGTGAAGAGAATACATTATGTATTTATCAATTACTGGATAGAAGGCTGAGATTGGTGATACGAGACCAAAAGAAATAATCAACAGACATGACAACACAGAAATTAATACATCATAGAGATTTAAACACAAGCACTCCACATTTTCAAAGAGCAAACAACTGGGAATACAATTTACAATAAATACAAATGCAAAGGGTTTAAAAGACTTAATAAAGAGTTCCCACAAATCATACGAAAGTCATTTAGTCCCAGTACAGAAATACATAAAGGACATCAGCAGACTACTTGAAAAAGAAGAAATACTACAGCCCTGTCGGGCAGAAAGACACAATCCTGAGAGGGCAGCACTAAGTTGACCAGGGCTCCGGCGAGGTCTGGAATACACGCATTCCCAGCTGAGTGCTCTGACCAGCGGTCTTCCTTCCACTTAGGGCAAGACTTGAGCTGTAGGGTTTTCTAGCTACCAGTCACACCATTGTTGGCCACATTTCCCAGGACACAGGGACGCTTAGATGCCCTTCACAATGTCAGGCAGTTTCCACCGTTTCCTAACCGGGTTGATCTTTACCCTCTTTTTCCTGCACTACTTATTCGATTAGGAAGTTCCTCAGGCAGCCATACAACTTGCATGTTAACATCTAGCAGGATACCTTGCCTTCAAGGTGGGTCAAACACTATCACTCAGTGTTAATCCGTTATATGCTCAAATTTGTCAGCAATGAATGCACAAAATAACTGGCAGTAAGAAAAGCAGCACGCATTACACATTCAGTTCAGTCTCTCAGAGCATTACGCAGGAAAGTGTTGGATCCCGAAGCTCACTGCCAAAGCATGACACAGCAGTTGTCCCTGCCTGAGAGTTTACACTCAAGGCAGACAGAGAGACATATTTGCACGTGCATACACATATACACACTTTTTATTGAGAAGAAATTCACATAACATAAAATGAAACAATTCAGTGGCATTTAGTACATTCACAATATTGTCCATTTCTATCTAATTCACAGGAAAATGCATCAAAGCTGTGCAGAATATGAAAACTAGCCTAGGTGTGTAAGATATGCAAAATTTTACAAATGCAATAGAAATTACTTTTTTTTAAGAGAATACTCAATGTTTGTAAGAATTAGATAAAATGAGTACTCTCATACACTTATGATAATATGCAAGTTGATATATAATGCATTAGTGAAATCAATTTAGCAAAAACATCTATCAACCAATTCAAAATGATATACACTAATGCAATTTCACCCTTGGGATCTTATTAAAACGCAATTTTAAAGGCAAACAAAGCTTTAGACATCAAAGATGCTTTACAGGTCTTCTTAAAAATGAAGGAAGAAGGGAGAAAAATAAAAAAGAACTTAGAAGCCAAATACCCCAAAGCGAGAGAGCAGAACATACACAATCACATACACAGACTGTGTAGTCATTATTAAGGGTGTCCGTGAGGGCTTTGTAATAACATGGTAAATACAAGCACTGTCTCAGGTGAAGTTTAAAAATTCAGACATATAATTTTATATATATATAGTATACTTTTAACTATGCCAACTTTGTTTTTTTTTTAAACTCCATAGTGTGCCTGAAAGGAAAACGGCAAACTTCTAAGTCATGTCTCTTCCTGGGTTGGGGAGGGGTGGTGGACAGAAACTCAAGTCCTGGTCTTGGCCTTGAAGGGACAGTGTGTGGATGTTCACAGAGCACAAGCTCTCGTCTCACTCACAATGCCTGGCTTTGAGTCCCAGATTTCTAGCTGTGTCACCCTGAACAAGTAACTTATGCCTCTCTGTGCCCCAGTTTCTGCATCTGTAAAGTGGGGAGGATTACATGTGAAAATACTTAGACAAATGTAAGCACTCAAGAAATGTTACTGGCATTTTAATCATCTCCTATTTCTAGAACAGCCCAATGCAAAGACAAGGTAGATCTTAAAGATTACACCTGTATTATCTCAAGAGATCAACTCAAGTCTGTTAGCAGTCCTAACTTCAGGAGATCTTAAGGAACTGGAAGTGTCTGTCACGTAGGATTTTTTTCCTCAGGTTCTCGCTGTTGGAATCTGGGTGCCCTTTGGATCACTTACTTTAAACCTTGCATTCCTCACTGGGTGGTCTTTTTACTATTTTCCCCATCCCTTTCTTAATTTAAAAATTAAAGACACTGATCGGAAATTCAGTGTGGCAGAAATGGGAAAAGACATCAATTGTATTTAATTTGACTATATTAAATTGAGGTCAAATTGGGGGAATCTAGAATGACATGTGGATTTTTCATTAATGGTAATAACACCATGTTACAGAGTATGAGAAATCCTTAACCATGAGTAGTCATTATCCAGATGTGATCACCAGCTGTGGCAAGATTTGGCTATGATGTAGCCACCAGCAATCACCCACGGATGTTCTTTCACTTGGATGCTTAGAACTCATTTGACTATCTGCAGCTCTTATCCAAGGATAGAATACAATCTTAAGACCAAATGAAATAATAAATTATGGATAAAGAACTGGTATCTTTCTGGCATTTTCCTTCCAGGGCAGTGGGGACAGCAAATACCTTACTGTTAACTCAACAAATACCTTACTGTTAAGACACTGCTTATTGTTAAGCAGTATCTGTGTATTCAACTGCCTACAAGTTAAAATCTAGCAGGCATTATTCTTATCATTCTTTCATCCAGTTTTCTTAGACCCATCTAAGAAATACCCAAAAAGGACCCTTCAACCCCCAATGATGAGATTATGACATATACTAGACAAAAGGAAAAAAGAGCTGCAATGATTAATCCTTCACAATTGTATGCAACATTTCTTACCAGGATCTCAGTATGCTTTGTTGAGAAGATTTCTGCTTTTGCAGCATAAAATAAAAAGAAGAGATATTCACTCATGTCTTTCTAGCTGTCCTTCACCGTGACAGTGATACTAAGCAATGTAGCAAGAAGCACACTAGGTTCTCAGAAGTTTCTCCAGTAGGTAACTAACTGTGTGACAGAAATAAGGTCTGCCTCCCGGCACAAGTACAAAGGCACATACGACAGTGCCTAAAACAGCATGGATGAGTTCACTGTGTGCTCAATGAGTGCTAGTGACCCAGAAAAGTCAAAACATAAACTTTACCAAAGACAGAAGCTGTTCCACACAGTAATCTCAAACACAGTGTGTTGGCAATCAAAACAGGAGTCCACCACCCTCTGCCTGGCAATTTTTAAAAGTACAGCACTCTCTATTGTACAAAGACTTGAAGACTTTTGAAGCTACTTTTTAGAAGTCATGGTAACAGAATAATGGAGCTTCATAATACAAGTAAAGGAATGACGCAGGCTCCCTTCTCTTTACTCTCTTGAATTTAAGTACTGTCTTTCTTTTAAGGAAACTGTGTGTCATCAAAACATCCTTATTGAAAATGTGTTGTAGGAGCAGCCCTGAAGCCAATTAGTGGCAAACAACTGCAAAGTAAGAGAAAAGGAGCCCACATATTTTTTAAAGATTTATTTATTTATTGGAGAGAGAGAGAAAGCACACACAGGGCGAGCAGGGGAGAGGAGGATAGGGAGAGAGAAACTTGAGCAGACTCCATGCTGAGCGCAGAGCCCGATACAGGGCTTGATCTCAAGACTCTGAGATCACAACCCGAGCTGAAACCAAGAGTCAGACACTCAACTGACTGTGCCACCCAAGTGCCCACCCTCCCGCCCCGGAACATGCCTTTTAAACATAAGCATGCTCTTCCACACTGATTCTGAGTACCACTCTTGGGGTTAAGCATTGTCCATGAGTGTGTCTGTGTCAGTAGCAGATATAAACAGTGGAGAAGGAAAAAAAGGAGATGAAAAAACAACACTTGCCAGGAACCTACTTCTATCATGTAACTCCCTAGCTCACAAACCAACAGTGGCTTCTTACTACTGCTGAATGAAGTCTAAAATTCTCTGATTTCCAAAGACTTCTACAATCTAACCCCCAAGGCTAAACTATTGTGGGTCCTCCAAATGAAGCTTCTCCCAGCAAGCCCCAACCCCCAACCAGTACCCACACCCCACACACACTCACTCACTGTTCTCTTTCTGAAATAACAACTAAGATTTAGCGATCACTCTATGGAGCACCTTTCACTTTTTACTGTGGCCTTTGTTCTCTATACTTTCTGTTATCCAACAGGTAGGTTTCACAACCTAGCTCTAGGCCATACCTGACCTCCCGGGTGTATGTGTCCAAGTTGCTATCTCTGAACTCTTCAGATTCAACCCCCAATTTAGTCTACTTCACTTTTGAAATATGGCTGCACACAAGAAGAGCTTACACCCTAAAGAGACTGTGTTATATTTCAGTATTCCTGAACACTTTACCTCTCAACTATTCAGTCAATTCAATTGATGATTCAAAGAAATATCTATTGAATAAGGAGAGACAGTGAGCGTGATAGGGAAGGAGAAGTAGAAACAGGAAGAGAGAAAAATTCAGACCCAGAGAGAGAGAGAGAGAGAGAGAGAAAAAAGCAGAGACAAAAAGTACTCTAAGAGTAATACTTTTATAAAGATAAGAAAGAGTTGTAAGTCCCAACAACTGCTTCAAGTGCAGACTACATCACAAGTGGCCTAGGCCTGCCCTGGATCACCGTCCAACCCAGTGTACCAAACACACAGAGCTCTACGATGACTCACAATAGTATAAAGACATTCTGAATGTTCCCTTCCTCAGGCCACAGGCCTAGCCCATTGTTAGCTTCTACAAAATGATGCAAATGTTATCTTGTCTGAAACTTGATGCAAAAGCTCAGACATCCTTTGAGAACTAAAGGCAGATACATACACATATACATGATAAAACAATCATCAAAACTACAAGAGAAATCTTCTAGGCCAAAAAATCCACTCTATGATCTGCCATAAATTTCCCAATTCTAAAAACATCAGACTATAGGGAATATATAAGCCTGTTCTTATTTGAAAAAAATAAATAGATCATTTGTTGTGAACAAAGTACCAATGTTATGCAGATAAAGACAGGACAGTATATTTAGCTCCAAGGGATTCTTTTCTTTCCTCCAAGAGATTCTTGAGTCTTGACTGAAACACCTACTTGACACAAGACTAGCCTCTATATTAGGTTCCTAGAATTAAGGTAATTTCATCATCTGAAGCCATTTTTCTTGGGCACTTACTTTCCCCAAAGCTGAAGCTCCCTGGATAGTGTGGAAGGTTTACATAACAAAGAAGGTTACTGAATGTTACATTAGAACTCACAGTCTTCTAGTTGTCTTTAAAAATGTGCAAAGATGCAAGAAGAGGTCTGTGTTTTTCTAGATCTGCAACAGTTACCTCCTGAACCTAGGCCTGGTGCTTCCTCTAATATTAAAAATTAATTACAATCTGCAAATTCTTGCTCTCTCACCCTTGCCTCCTCTGCAGAAGGGATTAAAATTTAACTTCAATCTTGGTCTTAAAAGTAAAAGTGCAGAGAAATAAAGTAGCAACATCCGCAAGGGTCCAAGGTCAGGACTAACCTGTTATCCTTGCGCACAGTTACTTTGTCCCCCCCAGGTATCAGCTTCTTCTGTTCAATCACTCCATAGCTCTCTCGACAAATCTATATTTAAGGAGGAAAAAAAAAGAGATGCTTCAATTCTGTTTACCACTTATCTTTCTAGAATCCACATGACTGAGAGAAGCTTTAGGAACAAATGTAGGTTAATCACTACTTATTACACAGAATATTCTTGGGAAAAGAGAACCTGATGCAGAAAACATTAGTACCTTAAAAGATATCCTGTGTTTTAAGACATGCAAATGCCAATAAATGCAATCAAAGAGAAAACGATATGAACTCTAGAAATCTATGTATCAAGAGTAAAGAGGACTAATGTTTCAGTGATTTTAAGTTCACAGATGAATCATTAATTTATTCAACATCTTCACTTAACTCCTTTAACAATCAAGACACTATAACTAAAATAAAATTTGTTCAGAGAAGACCCTGAATTTATTCTTCAATGTAGAGAACAACTATATGTTCATTATGACTTGTGAACATGATGAAAGGGAATGCCACAATCAGAAGTAAACTGTGGAAATCCTTACCGTGAAATTGAGGCAGAAAGTATCCTCAATATCTTCGCCAGTGTAATCTAAAAGTTCTTGAAGACTCCTAATCATAGAATAGAGAAAGGAAAAGAGGCAAGTTAGACACTGTAATAGTGTTTCCACCTCAGTCATATATCCAGAATCCTTGCAAGGAAAAACTAAAAGATTCTAGGATAAATGTAAATCCAGACTGACAGAAAATTGTGTTTATACCTTAAAAAGAAATATGGCAGGGGCACCTGGGTGGTTCAGTCAGTTAAGCATCCAACTCTTGGTTTCGGCTCAAGTCGTGATCTCAGGGTTGTGAGATCAAGCCCACACCAGGCTCCACGCTCAGCGCAGAGTCTGCTTGTCCCTCTCCCTCTGCTCCTCTGCCCTGCTCTCTCCACCCCCACTCTAAAATAAATACGTAAGATCTTAAAAAAAAAAAAAAAAAAAGAATGGCAGTAGACCTGTAAGACATTCATTAATTATTCTCTTTTCCCACTGAGAAGTCTTACTAGATTTATGAAGAAATTCAGATAGATTTATGTCTGACACACTTGTGTTCCTTTAACTGTGGTATTGCCTGGGAGTCAAATATGAGGACATGGTACTACAGTGGCCCTATAGGATGTCTTCATCCACATGTATTAGAATAATTCTTCCATCGTAAGAAAGCCACAAAGTCACCTCATCCACCTAGGAATCTTGATTGGCTTACTCGTTAATCCAAGGGGCTCTGTATGGTAAAGTCACTCTATTACCTGCCATACTAAAGAACACTAACATGTACTCTTAAAAAAAGAATGTTTATACCAACAATGGTCATATCCTAGCTTTCAAGAGAATATATTCCTGTAACCAGACTTCATTCACACTTTAGTGAGCTCCAAGTCCAGTTCCATCAAAAGTTGCCCAGGAAGAAAATTCTTAGTGTAGAATTTAAATCCACTACCAGTTAACCACCCAAAATCATTACTTCAAATATATCCTCAGCCAGCAGGCTGGCAAAGTAAATTGCACACACTTCAACCACTCTCTAGCCTTCTTCAGTTACCCCAAAATTACCACTGCCAGGGTCTCCTCCGCTCTTTTTCAATATTCCTTCTAAATGTTCTCTTCCTCTCTCTGTGTCCCCACCTCTCCCATCCTTTACGGTTTCTCAGTATTGGTGTCCTACCAGGTGGTGTGGCAGTCTCACTTCCCAGAGGGGACATTAGAAATGACCCTTTCTCTATCTCCATCTTAATATTGGTACTCTTTCTCCATAAAAAGGGCTGTTCCTTCCTGTTAAAGCCAAAAGGATTATACTGTCTACAGAAATCCAAGGATATGGTGCTTTTTATATATCTGATCTTATGCTACCTAAAATTAAGGCAGAAAAAGTCAGAATCAAAAGAGTTTTAAGAGCCAGAAAGAGAATAACATAAAAATATGGCTCCACTACTCTGGAAAACAGTCTGGCAATTCCTCAAAAGACTAAACACAGAGCCACCAGATGGCCCCAGCAATCCCACTCCTAAGTATACACTCAAGAGGAATGAAAACTTACATCCACACAAAAACTTGTACAAGAATGTCCATGGTAGCATTATCCATGCCAACTGAAAAGTGGGAACACCACCAATTTCCATCAACTATCAACTAATGAATGGATGAACAAAATGTCATACATATCCATTCAATGGATTATTATAATTGTCAATACTGACATGTGTTTCAACATGGATGAACCCTGAAAACATGCTGCATCAAAGAAGCCAGACACAAAGGACCACGTATTGCATGATTCCATTTATATGAAATATTCAGACAAGGCAAGTCTACACAGAAAGCAGATGAGCTATTGTCTAGGGCTTGGGGGATGAGGAAACTGGGAATGACAACTAAGGAGGACCAGGTTTCTTTTTCGGGCAATAAAAATCTTCTAAAATTGTAGTGATAGCTACACAACTCTGAATACACTGGAAGTCACTGAATTGTATACTACAAGTAGGTGGATTGTATGGTATGTGGATTATATCTCAATCAAAATTTTTTTAAATACTCCCTTTTCAGTACTTTCTCTCTGTATTTCTGGACCATGACAAGTCTCCACCCTTTATTTTTGTTCAGGATAAGGAAGGGTGAGATTATTTTGTAGCCCTGGGCAACCATGACCTCCCTTTTCCTTGGCCCCCTCTGCCACAGGCCATGCCTCAAGCAAGTAGCAGTGCATCTGCATCTTAAGAGTCTAGCCATATGGGGGAGCCTGGGTGCCCCACTCATTAAGCATCTGCCTTCGACTCTGGTCATGGTCCTAGGGTCCTGGGTTCGAGCCCCACATCGGGCTCTCTGCTCAGCAGGAAGCCTGCTTCTCCCTCTCCCACTCCCCCGCTTATGTTCCCTCTCTCGCTGTCTCTCTCTGTCAAATAAACAAATAAAATCTTAAAAAAATAAATAAAAGAGTCTAGCCATATGGTTTGATAAACTCAAACTTGTCCATGTGGTATTTTCAACCTTAAATCCCTGTGCCACAGGCAGCCAGAGCAGTCCCCATCTTTTAACTTTATACCTTCCTTCAGTGGGTGAGAGCTCCTTCAGGTCTTCCAAGCCAGGCTTCACGTTCAGTAATTTCTTATAGAGAGCCAACGGGAAGTGGAGATCGACCACAGTGGAGTTGTAGATGGCTAGTCCACAGGTTATGCCAATCAAGTGAAACCAGTTGTGCTCTACAAAACACTTTTCAGTATGTATGCAAATGTGTTAAAAAAAAAAAAAGGAATGCACTGCTTGCAGCCCTCAAAACACTGCCATTTACCTCAGAATATTTTCAGTATAGAAGAATAAAGACCTCATTAATACTCAGTTACCTTCTGAAGCAGAGAGACATCCTGCAATACCACCAAAAACTGCAACCTAGACAAAGCTAAGCATTTACAGCTCATCTAACAACACAGAGAAGAGCATATAATCTTCTAGAGCAACGCTGTCCAACAGGACTTTCTGCTCTGATGGGAACAGTCTATTCTATGCTGTGCCATCCCCCAGCCACTAGCTACACCTACTGAGCACCTGAAATGTGGCTAGCACAACTTTGGAAATAAATCTTAAACATTAATTTTAACTAACTAAAATTTATATTTAAATACCTACATGTGGCTAATGGCTACGTTTTTGGAACAGCGCAGATCTAGGGGGAAAACTCCAATAGAAAAAAGAACTAAATTATAGTCTGGTTAAAATTAGATGTCATTTTAAGCTTAGCTCTCCTACTGAATTTTCAAAAATAACGTATGTGCCTGTATTTGTGTAAGTATTCACACACATACCACATTATTAAAGTAAGGCGTACTTGTCTATCACTTTCCACATGTCATAAAACTCATTTCTTTATCACACTGTGTTCTTTTTACCCTTCAAAGAATAACAAAACCTGGCTCTTACCTACCAGGAAGGGAAATGGGGCTGATGGGTGACAAAATACATGAGATCTTGGCAACAAGTGAAAATGAAGACTAGATACATTATTTAGACTGTTTAAATTATCTTTGTTATGCTCCCCTTTGTAAAGTCAGAAGTCAGGGGGTTGGTCTGACCACAAAAAGAAAATCTAATGCAATCCATCTGTTTAACTGCAATATCACTAACTTACCGTATCTGAAAACCACAAGAGATTTGAATCCTGATAGTAGGTAAACATTCCGTAGATAGGATTCAAAAGTTCTTTTAACAGTAAAAGAAAGAACTCCTTTGTGACACCACCAGCATCCACTGCTTCTTCACCATCAAAGATTACCTTAAAATAATGAAAGCAAAATTAATACTTCAGGGAAATCTTTGATGTTTTATCTTTTTTTAGCAAACTCTTTCCAAAGTCAGGACAAAGCAAGAAATATATTACAGAGAATACACTGATGCAATGAAAACTGCAAGGTGTATGTGCTGATTATTAACAAGGCACTTACAGACACACAGAATTTCTACTAGGTACTCCAAGGAATACAAAGGAAGTCAGAAGTTCACCATATGTCCATGGAAAGTTTACCATCTATTTGGGGCGGTAAGGCAAAGATAAAATAATCAATTGGAGATTATATTTTCTTTCTATCTATCTATTTATTTTTAAAGATTTTATTTATTTAAGAGAAAGAGATGTCATGAGCCGGGGGAGGGGGGGAAGAGGGAAAAGCAGACTCCCCACTGAGCAAGGAGCCCCATGCAGGGCTCGATCCCAGGACTGAGATCATGACCTGAGCCAAAGACCGACACTTAACTGACTGAGCCACCCAGGCGCACCTGTATTTTATTTTCCAAGAATCAAATATATTGCGAGGTAAATGTTCTAGCACACAGCAAAAAGCAATGATTAAACTGAGTAAAGGAACACTTTCTGGAAGAAATCTCTCTCAGTGGGGCTCTTGAAGGAACTGATGCATATGGACAGAAGGAGGGCATTCCAAGGAGGCACAGACTTGGGTTCTGTGAGGGGCTATAACCAGATCTATGCAGGGCATCCTGGACCCATAGGATCATCACAGTAACAGCTACAGCAAACCAACAAAGGAGATTTATTGAGAGTTTGTTACATGCCAGCATTTAAACTCTATTAACCTAATGAGAGCAGCCTCATGTGTAGGGATTGCTATTATCAATCCCCTTTTTACAGGCAAGGGCTCAGACACAGAGCTAAAAAGAGCATTTGAAAAAGTATATCCTTCAACACTATTCTGCAGATGTGTGGAGAAAAAGCAGAAGAGGCAGAAGAACTTCGATTAGATCTTGAAGATGTAAAAAATATGTATAAGACTCAAATAGATGAACTTTTAAGACAAAGGCTCAGTTAACTTTTGAAAATTACATTCCTATCAAACTGAATGTAAACATTTAATATCTAAATGTAGACTTCCAATAAATCCCTTTATAGAATTAGAAGAAAAAAAGAAAAAGAGAAAGTATACCCTTGTGGCCGGGTTCCAGGCTGCTGAGAGGAGGACAGGAGCAAAGGTGGGGGCAGACACTAGGCCCTCGATCGTACCGATGCCGGCAGAAGACTTAACGCAGATGTGCTACGAAGCAACAAGGGTCTCACCGGAATTACTGACTGAAAACAGGGGGCAAAGGGAGGCCCCCTCTCTTTGTGATATCAAAAACCTAACCCAGAAATTGCAGGGAGAACTCCCAGGCAGACAGAGGAGATTGATGCCACTCATGGGATGTTCTGGAAAGGGTGATGATAGCACGGAGACCATCAGTTTCTTGCCTACGCTACCTTTTGAAAATCAGAGTTTACAACAGGAATGGCAACAGAGATCTGGAAATCATCTGAAGGGAATGATAAAGGGCTTAAAAAACAACTTCAGATAATTCATTAAACATTAATCGAACCACCTACTAGGTATGAGCATTGCGCTAAGCCCTGGGAATACAGTAAGTAGTAACACAAACATGCATAGTCTATGAGGAGAGAAAAAATTTTAATTCAGTAATTTCAGGGTACTAAGAGTGCCTATCACGATAGGTCAACAGCTTCCCAATTTCACTACCTTTCCATTCTAGGTTTTTCCTTCTTTCTCTTCAATATCTGACAACCAAAGTCTTCCTAGATGCTGACTGGATAGTTTCGCCTAGTTGAAGCTTTAGTTCTGCTCTTGCTGGCTTGTTTCTGGTAGAGCTGAAGCAGGTACACCCAAGACAGCAGACAGAGAAAGCCCTATAATCCCTCAAGTAATCCACTGGCATTCTTATCTGGTGGTATGTTGAGATGTTCTGTTCGATGATTTGACAGAAGGAGGTGATTAAATTCTTGTCAAATGAATGAAAGAAATCATGAATGGCTGTACTCCACAATTTTCATAATAAGACCTTTGCTGTTTCATCAACACTGTTTAAAGAAAATCCTGGAAGATATTTAGAGGAATAAAATGAAGGGCTCACTTTGAGAGGCTTTTTCAAATCAATATCAGAATGAATGCTCAGCTCTCTTAGGGCATCTCCAACAAGATTATTCCTGCGAACGTGAAGGACCAGGAAGGGGCTTCTGGCCAGCAGAGGCTCCAAGGTGAGAAGCATGAAGACATTCTGCAGGTTAGCTCCATTGACCGCCACCTGGAACAGCACAGCCAAGAATACAATTACTCAGAGTATACCTGGGAGTGGGGCTGGAACAGCAATCACCTGTGCCTTTGGACCTGGGGTAGGTGGGGAGCAGGCTGAATGCTTCTCCATTCTGTTCTTTCTGATTTTCCCTTTAACTTTTCCAGATTTTCAAAGTTACTCATGTTTATAAAACACACAAATCTTTCTAATCTGAACCAAAAGAAATTAAATGAAACAGTTTATGAACCATAGGACCCATAACCAGTCCCATGAAAATGACTGAGACCAGCTAATTAAGACTGAAGTAATCATCAGAGTAGAAGAAACATGATGGAGAGTTAAACAGCTTTCATTCTTTGAAAACTGTCCACTTTCTCTGGAATGCCTTTAAATTGACAATATCATGGATAGGTCACTGTGAAAACAGACACGTATGTACAGATACACACAGAGAGTGAGAGACAGAGAGAGAGAGGGATAAACGAAGAGATATACCTACCAACAATAGGAACTGGTAGATTTGGATTATTAATTCACAAATGTCTTTGTAAGCTTATTAAAACCAATTATATTTTATAATAAAAGTGTATATTTAAAATAAACAAATCTCTATAACTTCAGTTTTTAATCAATAAAGAATTACCAAGCTCCATTTAATTATTGCCCTATCTCCACCAGGGCAGCAAATGATGGCCTGCAGACCAAATCCAGCCTGTTGCCTGTTTTTGTACAGCTCTTGAAATAACAATTTTTTTTTCATTTTTAAATGATTGGGAAAAAAGTGAAAAAAATATTTCACATGTGAAAATTATATAAAATTTAAATTTCAGTGTACAGAAAACAGTATTGGAAAAACGCCATGCTCATTCATCTACTTATTGTCTATCACTGCTTTCCATGTTACAACACGAAATAGTTGAATAGTTGAGATAGACTGCATGGCCCACAAAAACTGAAATATTTACTATATGGCCTTTTATGAAAATGCTTGCCAACCCCAGATCCAGGTAAACATGCATTCATGTATATGTGTTATATTCAACATAAAACTGCTGAAAAAACTTAAAATAGTTCTATGTCTTTTTATCTATAAAAAGTTATAGTGGCCCTGTTAGACTCTCTCCTGTTATTAAAAGTTACAACGGAATGCTTAGGATGAACAGAACACAGTAAGAAGAGGAAATGATTTTTAAAATATGATACCTGCATCTGTAGTTCAGCATCGGTCTGTAACATTTTGGTCTTGGCTTGGGCATCAAAGATGAAAGGGTAGGAACAAAGTGTGACAGTATCCTAGAATAAAACATATTATTGGCAATATTACAGTGGTCCACAGAAAAAATTGCTAGAAAAATATATAAGTAAATGAAAAATGGATCGTTTACCTGTATTATAGATGGTCTAGCCTTCTGTGTAAAGAAAAATAAAAAGTCTCTTACTTGGATTGTAAAACCTGAACTTTCTACCCCCTGCGAATATAAAATATAAGTCAAAAAACATATAACCGATCTGATTATTTGCCCATGCAGAGAGCGAACACCATTTGAATGGCTGATTGGTTTGTGATGGAACAGACCAGATGTTTTGATGGGTACAGACTGAGAAAAAAAATATAAAAACAAGTATAAAAAATTTTAAAGGACCTTTAAAGACCATTTCACTGACTCCATAATTTACAGCATTAATAGAATGCCCTTTTATAAGAAATCTAATTCCAAAACAGGAGCTTTACAACCTTGACTTCAGATATTAATTTTCTTGGGTAAAATGGATGATGCAGACTGCATTTTATTTGTCGTCATGTTACATCTCCTTCTTACACACACACACACACACACACACACACACACACACACACACACACACACACACAGCTGTCATGATTAGGAGAAAACAAATATTTAGAAAGCTGTCCCTGACTCAGCACTTAGACTAGTGCCAGGCCTATAGAAGATATTCCATCAGTATGTGAATAAATCTAAATAAAATTTTGAGGACGGGAATAACAATAAATAACAACTACCACAAATGAAACATAGCTACAACAAAAACATCAACAATACACATTTGTTGATCTGCAGCAGTATTTCTCAAACAGAAAACTGCAAACTTACTCTCAGAGATCTGAGAGTGCTCTAGAATTTTTTAAAATTCTGCGAGTTCTTTAAAAGGCTATCCTAAACAAAACTAATGAAAATGCATTCTGAACAACCTCCTTGTGATGATTTTCATTTATTTTAATGATTGCACTGGTGTCAAGTTTTATATACTTAATTGTCCAAGGATAATGAAAAAGAAGAAAAGCAGTCTTCCTCTGTCAGGGATGCATTTGCGCCCAGGAAAAGGCCAGACCAGTCTCGGCCCACTGCATGAAGGAAGGTTTCATAGCTTCTGAAAAGAGAATAGAGCTGAGTCATCCCAGGGCGGACAGGCTGGCGGAACTCAGGCACCCAAGGCCTGACAGCAGGCAGTTCCTCTCCCCAATACAATGGGTTTCAATAAGATATTTTTGCTGTCAAATTTAATCAAAAGGCTAATCTGCATTTTATTGATTTTAGAGTTTTGTCTGCATTTACTTTGTAGATTTGGTTTGGTTCTATAATTGTTTAAGGGCTACTGAGTAAGAAGTGTAGAACTACCTCCTTTTGTGTTTGTGTATATTTCGATGAAATCGTTTAATAGCAATTTTCACTAAAATCCATCCTGTTAATCCTTTGGAACTAAGTTCCTTTAGAGATCTTGGAACATTTCCCTAGACTAAGAAACCCTAACTGGAGAGATGATTCTAGTCCAGTGAGACAAGGTATGGAATCATGCATATATAATCCAGGCTAATTTGGCTCATTCTCATACCTACTATACCTAATTATTTGGAATTTAGGAACTGAAATCACTAAAAAAAAAAAAAAAAAAAAGCCCACATACATACCATAAAATAGCACTTCACAAAGTGATCTTCTAGTCTAGGTACCTAGGGAGGAGTATCCTAGGGAAGTGGGTTTACAAGTAGTGGCAATATTCAGAACTAAGCATTATTTGCTTATTCTCAAGGGACAGAAAAAAATTGTTTACGTGTGTTGGTCTATAAAGCAAGATAAAAGTTCTGAACACTTCGAATGTAAAAGTGACTGGGAGAGAAGTGACCAGAGGGACCACAAAACCAGTTGCGGGCATTACAGCATCACAGCGTACCCAGTATTCTTCAATACCGGTCTTTTTGTTAGGACAGTATAGTTATTTCAGACATCAACCAGCAGGTCTGTCTGGAGGCCCCGGCCCTCTCCAGGCCCACTGCAGTTCTCGGACCATTCTGCTGCCCTCTTGCTGCAAGCCGCACCACAAGCCCGCCCAGGCCTCCTCCAACATCTACCTCCTCAGTCCCAGTCCCTCCCATCACCCCCTCAGGGGTGCAGGAGGGGAAGAATGAAGGGGGGGAAATCGGAGGGGGAGACGGACCATGAGAGACTGTGGGCTCTGAGAAACACACTGAGGGTTCTAGAGGGGAGGGGGTGGGGGGATGGGCTAGCCTGGTGATGGGTATTAAAGAGGGCATGTATTGAATGGAGCACTGGGTGTTACACGCAAACAATGAATCATGGAACACTACATCAAACACTAATGATGTAATGTATGGTGATTAACATAATAAAAAAAGTAAAAAAAAAAAAAAAAGATTTACCCAGAGAGAGAGAGAGAGAGCCAGAGGAGGAGAGGGGAAGAGGGAGAGAGAATCCCAAGCAGACTCCCTGCTGAGCACGGAGCCAGCCAGGGAGCTCGAACTCATGACTCCAAGATCATGACATGAGACGAAATCAAGAGCCAGCAACTTAATCGACTGAGCCACCAGGCATCCCTTTGAAGGTCTACTTATACATAGAAGGTCTACAATTTTTTATAAGTCTACGGGTTTTGTATTTGAAATATAATCATTTAATGTCACTGATTTTTATTCTGCAAATGCTATTTTAGAAATGTTATTAGTACTGGCATTTCTGTATTACATGAAATAAATGTTCCAACAGCAGCGTTAGGATTTTGCTCTATGGCTGCTCTCCCTAACGTAGGAGGATGAGCGTGAACTCATAAGATATGTGATCCTCTCAGGGAGGAGCCTGCTCGTCCTGGGTCATCCACTCCCCAAAATGAGTCTAACAAACATAAAACTAGCAAAGTACTGGTGATGGATCATATTTCAAGTGTTCCTGCTTGAAATGGGGTTAGACTGTGACCTTATTTCATTTTCAAAAGTATATTAAACAGAAGCATGGAATAAGTACATGGTACAGAACTGGGGAACTGGGAATATCTTTTTCTTCTTTTCTTAAATTCCAAGTCCACATTTCCTACGTGTGGCTGTGGCTGGCTGGGGACAGGAGGTACTGTACAAACATCTGCAGCATGAGGAGAAAACACAGCTAACTCTGCCTTAGGGCCTGCCACCAGGTGCTCCTGTACCCATCATAGACAAATCTGGCTTCCCAGCATCACTGCATGATGCTGAGGCAAAACAGTGGCCTTGTCTCACCCGGGAACAACACGGTACCTGGAGCCAAACCACTGTCCCCATGTGATACATACAGCAAGGTGTCAACTCAATTCTAGCTTTTACTTAGGAAGCATTTTCTTTGTCATTGACTTTCTCCCTTGTGCTGCCCTCTATGGGAGCCCATTGAGCCACTTATTCTATGTGCTCTTCGGTTTTCAAGTGTAGAAGCTGGCAGTTTATTAACTGAAATAAACCACTACCACCTCTTCTTTAAAATGAGCAAAAATCAGGGTGCCTGGGCGGCTCAGTCAGTTAAGTCTCAGGGTCCGGAAATGGAACCCCACATCAGGCTCTGCGCTCAGTGCAGAGTCTGTGTCTCCCTCTCCCTCTGCTCCTTCCTCTGCTCACTCGCTCTCGCTCTGGAATAAATAAATTAAAACAAATCTTTAAAATGAGCAAAAATCAGCCATTCTAGAATGTTCCTTTTGTGCTCCACAGCCCTTTACACACAACAGTTCCACAGCTGTGTAATGTCTTTTTCACTGCTGCCTCTGCACTGAATATCCCACAGAGGGAACCACCACATGCTACACAGGTCTCCGTCCCTGGTGACCAGCAGGCTCATGACACATATTAGGTGACCCAGAGCTGCTTACTGAAAACCAGTTAGTGAGGGCTTATTATATATACGCCACTAAGTACTCTGCCAAGTAAAGCCTTCCCATGCTTTCTCCCATCTAATTCTCATGATACTGTCATAATTCTCATTTACAAATAAGGACACCAGCACTGTAAGAATTAAGTAACTTGCCTAAGACAGCACAGGCAGTAGGCCACCACTGAGATCTGAACCCAGTTCTTTTTGACTAGAGCATGTGCTCTACTGTACGCTAGACTGCCTTGGCTACTACCACACTAAAACATTAGACAGGTAAAGCCATTTATTGTGAAGTGTGCGCACACACACACACACACACACACACTCCCATGCACGCACACAGGAATATTACTGAGCCATAAAAAAAGGATATCCTGCCATTTGCAACAACATGCGTGAACCTGAAGGGCATTATGCCAAGTGAAATGAGCCAAACAGAGAAAGACAAATACTATATGGTATCACTTCTCTGTGGAATCTAAAAGAAAGCCAAAGTTGCTCACTTAAGTACCGCCATTCACAGACTGCAACCATGATAATCTACATTTCTAACACCAGCAACTTCTTTTTCAGTGGCAAAAAGAATTAGGGTTCATTAGAAGTATTTTATTCAGCATCCAGTCACAGAAAGGGTAGATTCAAAGTCAGAAGAATTGGCTTCTATGAAGCTAACTAAATTGCTTAAACAATTGGAAAAACTGTTTAACTTCTGTGGGCCTCCAATTCCTCACCTAGAAACAAAACAGCCGAAATAATTCATAAAGCTTATTTCAGCTCTTAACATTTTATTATTCCATGAATAGTTACTCACAAGTCGATAAAATAGAAAAGCTTTTTTTTCCAATTTCTAAAGTAGCAGCTGAAAGCAGAGTTCATTGCTAGCTTGCATGTTAAATTTCCCATGTAAACCCATTTAAAAGACTCGAACTCATTTTTATTTAAGAGTATTTTGTTTTTTCAAGGTTATCATAAAGCTTATTAAAAACACATAACTAGGTGATGGACATTGGGGAGGATATGTGTTGTGATGAGCCCTGGGTACAAGACTGATAAATCACAGACCTGTGTCCCTGAAACAAATAATACATTATATGTTAATTATATGTTAATTGAATTTAAATTTAAAAAACACATTGTGTCTAGCACTGATCATCTATTATTTGACAAACCAAATAATCTCCTAAGTTAAATAAACCTATTTACACACCTTGCTATTAGAGACCACTACTCACCTCCAAAAACACTACAGGGAAATGTTGGTGATGAATCTGTTAAATGTTGGTGAAGAATCTGTTAAACTGGCAAGGACTCACACCAAATGTATCTGTTGCACGTCACTTCACTAAATACAGTAACAAATCATCATTTGGTTTTCTGACATAACTCCAATTTACACATACTCCACAGAGGGAGGTCCTAAAAACCCATGCAGAGATCCCAAGCCAGTCTGCAATCAAACTGAGCACCTCTTGCCAAGTCATGGTGGCAGGCAGGAATCCACAGTCCCTTGGGTGGCATATCTAACATACGGTGACAGCTAGGTCAGGGATGGGTGACATCTTCACATCCATAATCCCAAATCAGAGGTGGCCTACAGAATTCAGGTGCCAAAACAAGACAACTGAAGTAAGCTAGCTATCAGAAGATAGTAATTAGCAAATGATCCTTTCCTCAATGTCAGAATCAAGGGGCAGTGGGGACTGAGGCACATAGAAGCCTCGTCTAAAGAGCCACTATTGAACTCCAGCCAATTGGTACCATCTGGGAGGACAGGTTATGTTGCCAGATATTCCAAGTTTCAAGAAAAGCTAGAAATTCATTTTAAGTATCTTGCCTTTTTTGTAGTAAAAGACATGTAACAAAGTTTGCCATCTTTACCATTTTTAGGCATACAGTTCAGTAGTGCTAATTATATTCACATTATTACACGGCAGATCTCCAGAACTTTTTCATCTTGCAAAGCTGAAGTTCTATACCTACTAAGCAATGCTCCATTTCCCTTCCCTCAGGCCCCAGCCACCAACCACCCTACTTTCTGCTTCTACAACTGTGACTACTTTAGATACCTTGATTTTTAAAATGTTGGCAACTAATTAAGATTTGTACCATTCTGGCTGACTACCCATTTATGACTCCTTACTGACCATTTATGATTTCTCAAAGCACTTCAAAGTTTCAAGAATGCAAAGCCAGCCAAAACATTGTGACATTAACACCAAAGTCAAGGACAAATTTGGGGCTCAGATGTGCTCTTCTCGTCCTTATCTGTACTCTGAGAAAAGACTAAAGCTTTTTTTTTTTTTTTAAGATTTTATTTATTCATGAGAGACAGAGGCAGAGGGATAAGCAGGCTTCCCGCGGAGCAGGGGGCCCGATGCGGGGCTCAATCCCAGGACCATGGGATCATGACCTGAGCCCAAGGCAGACGCCTAATGACTGAGCCACCCAGGTGCCTCAAGACTAAAGCTTTAAGATCTGCTTTACGTGAATTCTTACCATGCCTGCTTGATGCAAGAACCACATGAGGTAGTCTTCCTGAATGTCCACAAGACTGGAAATCTCAGGAATGTAAAATGTATCATATTCCACATGCTTCACTTTGAGATTTACCTGATGAAGAACAAAATAAGGAAAATTAAAACCCAGACAACCGAAAAAGGGCTTTCCATGGACAACCTCAGTAGGACATTTGAGCCTACCATCTATTCACCCCTCTCCCCACTGGCTCCTCTCTATGCTCACCTTATATAACTTCTCCAGGAGCTTGAGAGCTGCTGTAATATAATTGTTAAACAGTACAGGAATTAAGAATGTCTTTCTTCCTCTCAGTAGATAAACGACTGCACCTTTATAGAGGTTTACCAGCTTCATGAAATATTTTGGGCATACCTGAGACCACCAGTTATCTTTAGGGAGAGAGAAAAGACATATTTCAACATGTATCCTTGATCAAGTATTTACGTCTTCTGCCTACTAGCTAAAAACTGCTCCGGCTAGAAAATGAACATTAGTCTAAAATACAGTTTCCCAAAACTGACTTTAAAAAGAATCCATCAAGGCATTTCTGGAGAGGGCAGGAGATCCATAAGAATCCCTAGAGCTTTTTTCGTAGCACTTGATCTGATTTTTTTTTCCTCCAAGACCCATTCAGAAAGCTTAGCTAAAAGTTCAATTCCAAAGGTCTGTGTGGACAAGATGCTAAGGCACCTGTTGTGGGCAGGAGCCTTCAGATCTCATCCTTGCTGCCCCCACCTCATCCTGTACCAGGGATGCAAAGGGCCACATGGCTCTGAAAACAGCGCCAGTATGGCATTCATGCCTTCCCTCAAGAGGCATCATTAGTTGAAAACTACTATTTCTGTTTCTCCCCAAACTATGCTTTCTCATAATCAGACAAGAAGGCTATAGTATTAGCTTCTACATTGTCAGAAGTAAATTCAGCCATACTGAAATACTTAAAGGATGAAATGATAGGATGTCTATGATTTTTTAAAAAATATTTCAGCAAAAATAAAAAGGTGGTGGTAGGGGGAATACAGAAAACTGAAAGGGCAAAATACTGATAATCATGAATCTTTGTGTGAATGGGTACCTGTAGTGTTTTCTGTACTTTGGGATATTCCTCTAAATTTAAATTTCTTTAATTAGAAGTTAAAAACAAGAGTAAAACTGAACGATTCTGATCTCTTTGTGCGGCCCTACCTGGAAAAAATTTAAAAAAATAAAAACCCAAAACTTAAACGTCAGGTAATATTCCTTCGGAGACTGCCATCTCTCTACCTCATAGTCTACGAGGACACCTGAAAAAATACGCCCCCCAAAGGGCTGTGATCTTAAAAAAGCAAAATGAAGGACTAACATATTCCTAGTGCTTTCATTATTATTTCTGTTTTTGTATCTTCTGCAAAGGTGGAAGCAATATGGAAAAGCCGGGATTCCATCCTCAGGAACACAGGGCTCTTTATTCATGGGGAGACACACTCAAGTAACATCCCAGTCCACATGGAACGCAGAAGTTACTGAGTCGCAATGAACACCTAAAAAAAAAAATTTACCAGGGGGAAGGAAAAAAAAGGGAAAAGCCAGGTGACAGACTTTCTGCACTTGATTAATAAAAACATCTCAGGCGCTACTCCCATGAGAGACACTCTCCAATTCACTGAGGAACGGAAGGTTCTTATCTCAGCAAAGTGTCCGTGGCCTGCAAAAATCAGTGTGGACTCAACTGTCCTAAAAAAGAAAAACAGAACAAACATTTGGTAAGTCTCCACTAGGTCATTCTCTTCCTCTCCTCTTTTGGAGACCTGTGCATCACACCAAACTGTTCATTTCACTCCCACCCCCTAAATTAGGTTTAGGAGAAAGACCAACAGATGGACACTAATTTTTGAGGCACTATTAACTACTAGCAAATGTAGGAGGTTAAAAAAGTAGTTTAAAGTTGGATAATGTAACCTAGTGAATATTTAAATATCAAGATTAGTCTAGCATGAATCATTTCAAGTAACCAAAATAACGGTTCGATTTGCTCATCGTGCAAACATGGCCAGTTAGAAGACAGCAGCAAAGAAAAGTAAGATCTGAATGTTAAGCATATTAAATGGCAACAGATCGATTCTCGGATCTCAGTCCACTGAGAGTCAGTGGTCACACCGATAAAATAAAAAGTGCAAAGCCACTGGTATTGGGTTTCACAAATTCACCTAATACTTTGCTGGGGTTTGTATCCAGCCGCAGAATGGCCATGGCCAGGGGAATAGTCAACGTTATGTAATACTTGGAATCCTGGAGCAGTGGGAATTCGGGAAGTATTAAATAGATTCTCATGGCTTCGACATCTGGTGGTGAACTGGACAACTGAGGAATCAGGCAACTCTCAAAGCTGTTCAAGATCTGTCCGAGAGAAAAGAATACTGAGAAATTCTAACATGCCTGAGATCTAGTTACCTTATCTCTAAATTCATAAGCTATTCGATAGACCCTCCATTCCCACTCACTCAGTATGCACTGAGGGTGCTCAGGAGATACATCAGTGGAATGAAAAGCCAAAGATCCCCACCCGTGCAGACCTTACTCTGGAAGGGCACTTCCTCAGAAAGAGTTAAGCTCAGAAGAAAGTTAAAGGTAGGTCAAATTCCCAAAGTGAACATTGTAAAGATTTATACAAGATTTTTGCCTTTTTATCTTACTCTTGTTTCTCTTGAAAGCTGAATTACTGCAGTGCAAAAATGCATTTTTAAAAATACACTCTGTAAATGTAAAGAACTTACCTGTTCTAGAATCATGGAGTGTTGAGAGCTCATTAACTTCTCAAATAACACTCTCGTTGAATTCAGGTCAATCCCAGGGATTTTGGGACTTGTTTTAAAATGTTCATCAATTCTAAACAAAAATGTTGAAAGTGTGTAATAAAAGAAAAACAAAGCAAACACTCTGACAGGAATTAGAAAAGGGAAACAAAATAGTCTGTCTCTACTGATGGGATTTAAAGTTGATCTAGCAGACAAGCTGCATAAAAACACTACACTTCAAGAAAGCCCAACAAAATCAAGCTCTGGAACCCCTTTTTCAAGATGATCTTAAAATTTTCAAGTGTTTTTTTTTTTCTTCAATTCAAAGTACAAGCAAGGATCATCATTTCAGTTTGAGGTTATCTTGAAATTTATAAGCAGAGTGTTATTTCCCTGATTTACTCTTGCATTTTTGCCTTTTTCTGTAATTCTGGTACACTGACCTAGATGTAGATGCTGTGCCAAGGGGCGAAACACATCCCTGGTGCAAACTGGCCCACTCATCAACAAATAGCAGGTAGAACAAACCTCATTTAAAGCTTTTCTTAATAATTTTTTTAAAAAATCAGATCTACAACAAATACAAAGCTAATGTCTCTCTTAGTTTACACAAGGGATACAATTACATACACCCAAGGACTAATACACACTGCTACTGTTTTTAACTTCCTAGCAATTCATCATTTTTTCTAACCTTAAATAAATCTTAACCTTTTAGAGACTTAGAGAGTCTCTCTTTTAAATTCCTACTCTTGAACATTACCACATCTATTAATTAAAAAAGAACTATCTATTTGCAAAACAGGCTACTGTTTATGAGTAATGGACACATTCAAATAGTTTTAACACCATCTGACAGCAATGTTGTAATTTATAAAAATATAAGTCGAGTTTCTAACATTAAAAAAAGTCATAATTACATGTATTGAAACCTAAATGGTCAAATAAAGAGATGCTTGGGCTTTGTTGGGTCTTTTGTTGTTATTACTCTAAAAATAAATCTACCCCAAACACAGAAATTAATTCTGGTGTCCTTTATGTAACCTTCTATATGCAGAGGTATTTACTGTCATACTGTTAAGAAAAAAACAAAATATTTTATCTAAATGTATTTATGCTTTGTAAAAGTGGTCTTCACTTTAACTGGTTTCCTGTGAGGCATTCTGCATAAGCTACATAAGCAGGAGTCCTGAAATAGCACAGTTGTCAGTTAAAAAAAAAAAAAAAGGCTTTACCCATTTATCTCTATGGAATTTATGAAACTAAAGATGAATAACCTAACAAATCTGGCCAAGGGCCATTCCAAACCTTCATAAAAACCTATCCTTCTAGAACAAGTTTTCTCAGCCTTGGTGCTATTGACTTTTGGGGCCAAATAATTCTTTCTTGGGTGGATAGGATTGTGAGGTGCTTGGCAGCATCATACCACTAGATGCCAGTAGTATACCCCCCCCCATTGGAACAACCAAAAAATGTCACCAGACATTGCCAAATGTCCCCTCGGAAGATAAATCAGCTTGGTTGAAAACCACTGTCCTAAAAGACCAACATCAGCACAATACAGAACAGTTTTCCGTGGAGGAAAATGCTAAATATTAAATCTGAAATAAACCGGATGAGCTCCTTTCAGCTGCCCTAATAATACAAGTAAAAGGCTTGGCAATCTCTAGCTGTAACTGAAGAGTTTCTGAAGTGACCTCTTGCAACCCAGTCAGGGACATACATTTTTGGTGGGGGAGGGAGTGGGATTCATACACTGAACTAAATTCTAAATCTTCTTGGGATTTCATTCACCTGGTCACTGGCAAAAAAGGACTGAGAAATGATCAGGACTTGGGATCACCAAAAATCAAAACCCATGACAAGAACCTTCTGCTGCATGAGGTTCCTGAGGGGGATATATGCAGAAGTGATAAGGCCAAGCAAAGAAACACTATTTCCTACCTGGAAAGTCAGCCCAAATGTAATTTCCTGGTGAGCTGAGCTAGACCTAAGGCCAAGGAGCTCCCGAAGCTTCCTTGGAACATCCCCCTAAGCTCACTCTTTTTGAGAAAAGAAAAACCTTTGGGCAACAATCCAATGAAACTGAGACTACTTAAAGAATTAAGAATTTAAAACAAATAGGGTATACATGTTGGGGGTAACATTTCAGAACAGCCTAAGAAATCCTGCTATTGATTACATCAACTCTCTCTGAGATAGTCTCACTCTTTGCTAATCTGCTTCTTTGCCAATCAGGCATGAATCAGCATTGCCCTTCCTGACATCTCATTCATCATTAGGCATTCCAATTTGTGCACAAATCATCAGCTTATCCACTAAATGAAGGCCAACCACCATCAAAGAGAACAGGAGTCTCTCATGGCCTTTGCTGAATAAGTATCTGAATCACATGTGGGTATTTTTTTAAGATTCTAAATCACTTACTTTTTTTCAAGAAAACTTCCATTCCAACAGGCTGCAGAAGATAAGATCTGAACAACACCACTGCTCAGAAAGAAAAAGGTAGGCAAGCCTTTAATAATTACAAAGAAATGGTTATTCAAGCCCAACAACAGGTTAGTCATCTATCCCAGGATTTCATCAACAGCAGCTTTCTTACCCAGATGAATCCTTGGAAAATGTACATTTGCTGTGGAGAAACATTGTGTCTCAAAATGGACAAGTACTTAAATTTTCCACAAGTCGTGTTAAAATCAAAAGTACCAAAGCTACTGAAAGAACGACTCTTGCACCTGATAATGATCTTGAACATTCTTCTACCATCAACCATCTAAGATATTCCCCGGCTCATCTCCAAACATATAATCACAAAAGAAAAGCTGAGCTGTTATCTCCCAAACACAGAAATTGTCTTTGCAAAATACTAAATGAACAACTATTTCCTTTTATTGTGTTTCTTATCTGAGAAACTGAAAATAAGTGAAATGAGTGTTTATTCCTATTACCTAGATAACAGAGGTTCTGGGAAAACAGCTACTTTCTGAGGACCCAGAAAGAAACTGTGTGTGAAGAGTCCTGGATTCTCTCAGTTAGTATATGGAAAAGGGAAGGAATACAACAAAAACATGGTTAAGGAGGGGGTTGCAATAACTTCCGGTAATGATAGAATCTGGGTCAAGAAAGTTCTCTAGAGATCATTTCTTCCGTCCCCTCATTTTACAAATAAGAGAACGAGAATGAGTAAACTGTCAAGGCCCCAGCAAAGGGGAAGCCACCCGCCCCTCCCTCGGTGAGTCTAGTCCCCTTCCCTTACCCCTACAACCTCCCAGCCTGAATTCCCCATCAGAGCCACCTAAGGTTAGAGAAACTCTGAGGACATGAGCTGCTTGAGGGCATTCCCAATGATCCCCTGGTGCACCCCAAAGTTTAGGGCCCTGGTCATTTGCCCTACTATAATCTATGTCATAAAGCAAGATGTATTATACGCATTTCAGTGTATACCACTGAGTACACAGAGTGTGATTCATTCATTCCCAAATATTAGATTCTGCAGAAAAATGGAAATGCTAAGGAAAGTCAATGAAAATGTATAAAAATGTGCAGGACAAAATTCTCCTTTAAAATAAACTTGATAAAAGGCCTCAATCCTTTTTACTTTATTTTCTCAACCTGACATTAAATGACCATCTCAGCTAATCATTTTCAATGTGAAAATGCTAGAAATTATTCAAGATGAGGTAAGGTAACAGCTGTCTTACTTTTGGGATGCTCTGGGATATGCATATGAAGAAACTCTTGGGGGTAAACAACCGTTAACACTGAGCTTTTTTTAGCAGAAAGGCCAACTCATACCTTCATCGGTGAGGATTTTTAAGATGTGAACAAGGTAAGTTTAAGGGACACAGTCTGAGAGAATGGGGGAACATTATGTTATCTGGGGCTAAGGACACCAAATCCTCAAGAAATATGTGGCAAAAAAAAATGATTCCCTAAATTAAAAAACTCCATGTATATTTACAACCTCATACGGAAGTAAGGAAAATTACTAAACTAGAACATTCCAATATACTCTGGAAAAAATAAAATTTAACAAACAGCCGCATACTTGATTGTATTTGCATTGCTGTGTTCTGAGAGTTTTTGTCTCCAAACTGCTATGGTTTCATCATTTATTAAACTGGTGTAATGTGCTTGGTTCATCGTCCTGAAGTCAACAGCAGGGGAAGAATTCTGTAAAAAAGAGAAATTATGTAGGATGGATCTTTTCTCTTTCTGCTGACATAGTCTCCATTTTGGGTTTCACAGGAGCTGGGGTGCACTGCCCACATCCCCCTCTTGACTCCCTCAGCTGCTGAGAGTGTCAGCTCCTAACAGCTCCCAGCTGGGCTGCTCTCTGGAACCAGGGCTACTGGTTCAGCACTTCAACATCTGGAGGCAAGGAGAGGTATAGTACAAAGGCCCCTTGCCTCCACTCAGGACTGGTGAAGAGCCATCCCAATTGGCTTCAGAGCTCCCAAGGAGACTGGCTGAGGCCTCTGTTACACTGACCTGCAGTTTCTCCCTCTGCCCAATCCTGCCTCCTTCATCCCTAAATAGATGCCCTTTCTAGAGCACACTACCCCTAAAAACTTTCTCAACATAAATCTCAGTCTCAGAGACTGTTCACCAGAGAAACAACCCCAACAAGGCTTTTCCACACTTCTTTCCCCTCTGCTTTGAATCACTGTAACATCAAGGCTTTTAAGGTATTGTTTGCCATAACTATTCACCGAACTCCAACAAAATATATTATTAGGGGCACCTGGGTGGCTCAGTCATTAAGCGTCTGCCTTCGGCTCAGGTCATGGTCCCAGGGTCCTGGGATCGAGCCCCGTATCGGGCTCCCTGCTCGGCGGGAAGCCTGCTTCTCCCTCTCCCACTCCCCCTGTTTGTGTTCCTGCTCTCGCTGTGTCTCTCTCTGTCAAGTTCAGTTATAATGTATAGTGCAAACAATCTATGAAAACTTAATGCCTCTTAATTTCTTGTTCCAAGTATATAGGTGTATATTAATAAGAAAGGTTGCAGAAAGGACATGTCAATAATGGCCTTGAAAATTCCCAGTGCTGCACAGCATTATACATCTTTTATTCAGAGAGATCTAAAAAAAAATAAGGACTTTTACTTTCTAAAATGTATCTTATTCAACTGGTATTTCCCAAATCCTGTTCTTGATCTAGAACTAAGAAAAAGTTGAAAGTGCCTTATACCCCCATAATTGTCACTAGAAGAGAGAGAAAAATTATATTAAACCATTCATCCATCAATTCATAAGATGATTTTTTTTCCCTCCTTTGTACCGACACAAAGAAAGACAACTTCCAAAGTAAATTTTCTTGGTTACTTCCCCATAGTTGTGAGTTAAGATATCATAATAAGGGGAAAGGAAGAGGGCATGTAAAAAATAACAAATCGGAGATGTTTGCCAATGTTTTTGATTATCTGGGTCTTGATCATTACTTTACTAAAATGGCCATGGACATCTATGAAAGAACAAAAGTCATCTTGAATGACACAGGAAAATCACAAGACAAAATGGACACTTGAGAACATACAAGCAAGATTGCCTCTTCATCCTGGCCTTAAAACCACTGTTATCTACATTTTAATTACTCTCCCCATTCACGGGGTAGCTGAACAGACTCTAACACATACAATAAAATAAAAACATGGAACTATTTTCTCATTCTTCATCGTATGTCCAATAAACTACAGGTGACCTGAATGAAGTATAATCTCAGAATCACTTAAGGACCCAAGAAAAGGTTATCAATTTTCTGTGCCTTCTAATTATATACAAGCCAAAAAAAATTTTTTTGATCTAGGGTCAGTGTTTCTCAACTTTGGATCACCAGAGTTTTCAAAATCTCGATGGCTAAGTCACACTCTAGACCAATTAAATCAGAATCTCTACAGACATCAGTGTTTTTTTTTAAGCCCCTAGGTGATTTCAAAGGGCAACCAAGGTTGAGAAAAAGAGAATTATGTCACCTAGCAGGCTTGCAGGCACATGAGCGCAAATACACACACACAAGCTCACCTAACATCCCAACCACACTCCCTCTTCAATCCTACCCATCAAACAACATGAAAGGAGAAGTAGGGGCTATGCTTTGCACTCACTGAATTGCCAAGACGTGGAGTCCAATGTAGCAAAGCAGTATCTGTACATAACTCCCCCCTCCCTTCTTCTACCTCAGACCTGGCATTAAGTGAGTGAGTCGCGTTTATAAAAATGGAACCTGTCACAATACAGATGCTTTCTGTTAGGTCGTTAAGTGATTCTTCAAGTGTTATGGTAATGGGGTAAACACATGATTTGATCAGTCTCTGTGTCTAAACAAATATCTCTGCTTAACAGTGTAAGTAAATGTGTACAGCCTTCATTTATTTCAGTTTTAAAAAGAAAGAGCAAAGTGATAGTCTATTTTTTCTTGTTATCTTACATTTTTAATGCATACCACTCTTACCAGTTGTTTAACCTTTAACTGCCCTATTTCTCTAATATGACATTATTTTATATCCTTTTCATCAATGTTTTGTTTTCCAGTCCCAACAGTGCTAATTACAATAATTTTAAATCCAACCACTTAGATCAGATACCATATTGGCTTTCATAGGAAAATTAAAATTGGATAATATTATTCAAGTCAATTTCTTAGGGAAATGAATACTTCAAACTCTACTTTGGACAAAGTTACCATCCTGCAGAGATTCGGGGCTTTTCATGTTTCATTTCACTGGCATTTTGAAGAAACGAAAAATAATCTCGGTCTTCCTCAAGATTTCTCTGTGAAACACTGAAGCTGGGCCTAAAATAGGTCTAAAGCAGCAGTTCCAAATCACCCCAGATGGCAGCACTAAACAGAACTTTCTCCAGGCTCCTGACCTGGAAAATATCTAGTTGTCAGTTTCCACTGTCCAACCTGCAGCCTCGGGCTCCAGTACAACCTCTTCTACCAAATCACGTAATTATATTGACTAGAAGGCAAGAACATTGTGTATTTAAAGATGGCAGAGTATCGGATGAATGGGGAGAATTTCCAGGACTCAAAGGGGCCCCTTGTCTCCACAGTTCCTATTTTCTTCCCAATCAGTTCTGATTCCTCTATCATCACAAACAGCCTTTCCCTGCTCTTCCAGAGAGGATAAGGATCTAGGCACCACATACAGTTGGTCCTCCCTATATGCTGGTTGAATAAAAGCGGGTGGGTGGGGGGCAGGGGGCAGGGAGAGGAAGCACAAAAGCCAGGAAGGGAATGGAGGGCAGAAAACAAATCTGTGTCACAAGTTTCAGAATCATTTCCCTTGTCCAGGAGGAGGGGAGGGACTACAGCTCTGTCACAGATTACCTGGACCACAGTCTCCTCTACCTTCAACCCTGAAAGATACCAGAACGGCATTCTTCCTGACTTACTACGGTGACACAGGAGACAATGTGAAATTTTAGTGTGGTGCTATGAGCAGATGATAAATAATAAAGGTAATCTGAAAATTACATCATCTCTTTTATATTTACCATATACTCAATCATATCAAACCCACTAAATTCTCAAGTACCTAGTATTTGTTGCTACCTAATGGGGAAGAAAGAGAAAGTCAAATAATGCCAAACTAAGTACAAATTCTCTAGGCCTCCTTAAATATCTTTTGGAACAAATGTAGACATAAACAAATAATTTTAAATTATAAATTAGAACTCTATGATTAAAATACCAGGAAAGTTATTGGCACTTCAAGGAAGCAAAATGGAGAGAACGTCTTCCACGTCAAGTTGGCTTACCTTGATAAGATAAAATTGGTAGAAACAGAGTAATACTGCTCTCATGTAATTATTTATTAAAATAAATACTGGTTCACCATTATTCCACCCCCAAAATAATAGTTGGAAGAATTGTTTACCTCATATTTGGAGCAAAGTACAAAAGTTTGGTCTCCTCCAGAGAATATCTGCTTAACAATATGATATTTAAAGCGATCTGTCAAAAAAATTTTCAAGAGCATATTTTTCAGTAGTTAAATTTTTTCCTTGATCCCCTTTTCTAATATTCCCAAATATGACTCAGACTGGTTTCCTATCCATTTCATTTATGTCAGAGAAGAAACCTTCTTCCTCGCTCTCTGCCCCAAAACTGTTTGTACTTCAATTAAAAATAAATGGATACAAAATGGTATCCTCCCCTCCAACTCTACCCCATCCCTTCCCCAACCGCAAGCTAATCCTGACGTTTCCATTCTTCATTCTAATCTTTCCAGCCACTAATGTGAAATTTAAAACAGTCACTAATATCAACAGTAACATGTCTAAGAAATAACTGAACATCTGAGTGTGGTGTTCTTTAGCCCCTTCAGGATGAAGCTTGTCATAGAAGGCCCTCCATTTCCTACTCCCTGCTTTATCTTCCATCACACTGATTCCACGGTGACCCTCCGATACCACCATATTGTTTTCATTCCTAATATACCGCACTCTCCCCTATCTCTGTATCTTTTCCTTCCACCACCCCCACTGCACACTGTGCTTTCCACAATGGTGCCTCCTAGAGCACAGTTGCCACGGTGCTCCTGCAAATTGTGTGATTCTGTGGTACTCACCACTGCCCACTCCCTCATAGTCCTCTACCTGGCTAACTCCAAATCAGCCTTTAAGACACAGCTCAAACTTCCTCTAACCGGAATACTCCTTGATGCCTTCCTCTGTGCTCCCACATTCCCATGAAGGGTCCTAAAACCACAGCATTTACATAATGAATTGAAATTTACCTATTTACGTTATAAAATCATTTTGGCAAACATCCAAACACAAATTTATGATCACACAAGTCAGGTTCTAATTAAACTTCAAAAATTTATGATTTCAAATTAAACTATACAACACTTAAGTTTATGAAATTGCTTTATTTCTTCAACACATGCATTCATGGCATGTCTACAATGCCTTGGTGTAAAAGAAATTCACAAATGACAGAGAAGAGGACACCTAGCCATTCTTTCACTTTTAGGAACATCATCAAAACCAAATCTTATTTATTTTATATTTCAAGTTCCACTGCATTTTTAGAGGCTCATATATTCTTTCTATAACTCTTTCTTGACTGAGAAGTCTGTGCCAGGCCTTGTGCTGTATGCCAGATTTACAAAGAAGACTCAGTCCCTGCACTTAAGTTTCTTACAATCCAGTAGGAAACTTATGGTAGTTATTGCTTAAAAAAATCCTAATTAAGCCATAAGTCACTTTATAGTCTTCAAAATCAAGTTATTATTAAATCACACTTCTTTTTGGGGGCACCTGGGTGGCTCAGTCGTTAAGTGTCTGCCTTCGGCTCAGGTCATGATCCCAGGGTCCTGGGATCGAGCCCCACGTCGAGCCTGCTTCTCCCTCTCCCACTCCCCCTGCTTGTGTTCCCTCTCTCGCTGTGTCTCTCTCTGTCAAATGAATAAATAAAATCTTAAAATAAATAAATAAATCACACTTCTTTTTAATGACTCTCCAAGCTTCTTGTCAGACACTAGATTTATTATTTCAAGTCATTCATACTGAGTGACTGCCTTATTTTGATTTCCAATGAAATGGACAATGTGCTATTTCACTATTTTTTAAGAGAAGAAAAAATGGCATAAAAAGAAATCATGTCATGTTATGACCAGAATAGCAAAAGCAAAAGGAAAGTAACAGCACAAGCATTAAGCACACAGGTTCTAGAATGAGGAAGAGCTGGGTTTAATTCCTGCCCCCAGAATCTATGTGGTGTTGGATGAGTTACTTAACCTCCTTAAGACTCAACTTCCTCATCTCCAACATGAAATAATAACCACTAATTCTTAAGGTTGTTTTCAATGCTTAGCATAAGTAATGGAGCTTGGTTAAGTATTCAATAAACATTAACTTTCTTTATCAGCAATAATAATAAATAAAATTTATACACCACTACCAAGGTCCTTAGGGCCAAAATAACATTTTTTTTGCTTAACCTCAATGGAGATCTCTAGGATCTCAATTATAGAACCTCATGCATAGTAACTACTCAAATAATTGATGATCAATGTTAAAAGAAAAGATCTCATACTCATTTCCTCCAAAAGACTCCAAGGTAAAATACAGACATATGTTCTATAAACAATTTTTTGTTATCATTTAAAATACCATTACATTCCAATGAAAATCACTCTTACCGGCTCTGGCTGAAAGCTGGCCACTATGAGCGGCCCAGTAACCTTTCACAGGGGATGGGCATTTAACGTTACAAGTGTGTCCCGTTCCTAATTGACCTCTTGCTCCACAACCAAATGCATAGATGAGTCCAGAAGAAGGCACGAAGGCTAGGGTGTGTTGTCTGGGGAAAAATAAATTCACTTATCAGCACAGTTTCTACCACTAGGGTACATTCAGACTGACTTTTAACCCCCACACGTGAGCACAGCAATGCCTACGGGTGCCCCCTAGAAATCCCACCCTACATTGACTTGTGACTGTTTTTGCAGTGGCTGGCTCTCTGTAATCTCTGAAACTCTAGGCAAGGAGGAAGGTGGCAAGATGAGAAAAAGGCTGAATGGCCTGCTGCATTAGGCCTTTGAGATGACAGGGAAGAAGCAGGGTAGACCAGGCAAAATTTCCAAGAAGTTCTTTGAGGCTCTCTCACTTTCCTTTCTTCATGTCTTCCTCCCTGCTAGTCTTTATCCCAAAAGAAGTCTCATGTCCCCATCTTGCTACACTCATCTAAAACCCGTCCTTGACACACTTTACTCAGATCGAACTTTCTCCAAACTTTCACTGTGGCTGTGTACGCAGTTAAGACCTCTTAAAATGCTGGTGGTTAGAAGGGCGCCCAGGTGGCTTCAGGCAGTTAAGCGTCTGCCTTCAGCCTAGGTCGTGATCCCGGGGGGTCCTGGGATTGAGCCCTACGTCGGGGCTCCGTGCTCAGCGGGAAGTCTGCTTCTCCCTCTGCCTCTCCGCCTGCTCATTCTCTCCCTCTCTTTTTAGATAAATAAAATCTTTAAAAAAAAAATGTTAGTGATTAGATCCAACCACATGCTCTGTCATTACAAAGACAAGATTCATTTCAAGGTCTCAACAGACACTAAGAAGCTCTTCAGGGCACTCACCTGCCACAAGCAATCTGAGTTACTTCACTGCCCATCAGCTCCAGAACTCTTCTTGGATTAACCTCATCATTCATGGAATCATGTCCAAGTTGCCCACAGGAACCCGCACCAAAGGTAAACACACCTCCACTCTAACAAGGGACAAACATGACATGACTGCATTGTATCTCTGAGTTTGAGTATACTCCTCAAAAAGCCTCTGTACACAAGATTCATATCACACTAGTCTGTACAAGAACACGATCCTTCACCAAAATGCCTCCTTTGGAATGTTCATTAAGTAGAAAAATAATTTAAAAAAAAAGAAATTAAGACTACATCTTTATGGAACAAAGATAGCACTGCTCAAGGGACCATGTGCCATCTGTAAATTTTGAAAGTTGTTTAGAAGTACAATGATGTGCTAGGAAGCAAAACAAAATAAGGAGAAACAGAGATAGGTGAAATGAAATGATTTTGCACAATCGTTCATATCTAAGAAATTAAATGCTCCACAAACTCCTTGGTAAGTTAGCTACTTTTTTAACAACTGTACTTGAACAAATGCTAAGGCATTTTATTGAAGTGAATCTATAACAGTATTTGTTCAACATAAAAATACATTTTCATTCTCTCTGCATGTGATGGTTTTAGAAAAAATAGGTTGATAATTTTAAGACATCAAGTACATTGCTCTGTATTTTTCACATATTTAAATTGTTTTAAAGGAACACAGAATGTTGCTATATACTATATTTTAAGGTTATTTATACTGAACTATTTTTAAACACCATCACTAGTCTAAAAGATACTATCAAAACGAATCAAGTAATAATCATCATCTGTGCCATACCCAAAACCAAAGCATCACAGAAGAAACCAAAACACTGAGTCCCTTACCTTTGTGAGGACTGCTGTGTGTTCTTCTCCACAACTAATATAGACGACTTTTTGTGTTCGTAAGAGTTTCACGTGGCAAGGAGACTCTCGATCTAAAATAAGAGAAAAATCAGAATGTCACTACCATTTGTCTTTGAGATGAAATATACACAACTATTTTAGGATGAATTTTGGGTCCCCCTGGATCCCTGACTCACATATTCAGCTTCCTGCCTATACATCCACTTGAATATCTAATAGACATCTCATTTTGAATACATCTAAAACCTAACTCATGGTTTCCCCACATTCCCCAACTCTGTCCACTCACCACCCCAACACACACACACACACACACACACACACACACACACACACACACACAGTTTCCCTCAGTCCATAAATGGCAGCTTCATCCTTCCACTTTTCCTCTCTTTATTTCAAGCACACACCCAACAATGAGCAAAACCAACTGGCCCCACGTTCACAGTATATTCAAATCCGACTTTATTCCCACTGCCTCCAAACTGGTCTTCCAGCCTCCCTGGGGTCTGCGCTAGCCAAACTTAAATTGGATCACTTTTCTCCTCCAAACATTCAGTGTCTTCCCCTTTCAGTGAGTGAAGCTGAACTCTCTCCTTTGCCTTCCATGGCCCTGCATCATCGGGCCTATACTACCTCTCTGACCTCCAGCCCTGCTGCTCTTCCTCTCGCTCATTCCACTCTAGACTACACCACCTATCTTCCCACATTAGAGACTCTACACATCCTGTTCCCATTGACTGAAACATTCTTTGCCCAGATAGCTACATGTCCCCTTTTTCCCACCTGACCTCCTACAGGGCTTTGCTCAAACATCTTATCAAAAAGGCCCTCTCTGGAAACCTTATATAAAACAGGAAATTCTCCTCTCAAACCATCTGACATACTGTACTTCCATCCACCAGCATGCAGTCTCCACTAAGTCAACAGTATTATCTGTTTTGTTCATTGCTGCACCCTTAGAACCTAACATGGGGCCAGCACACAGCAGATTCTCAAGAAGCATGTGTTAAACAAATGAAAGTGCTTTTGAACTAAAGAGGTACACACAAAGAGTTTACTTACCTTCTTCATCACTGAGCCCTAGCTGCCCTGCATTATTCATCCCCCAGCCAAAAACTGCTCCTGAGAGAGACAAGGCAAAGCTGTGAGCTCCTCCTGCAGCCACCTGAGCCAGGGGGATGCCCTCCAGGGACCTCACCCGCTGCGGGCTGGCTTGGGAGGGGAACTCCTTCCCCAGGCCCAGCTGCCCATGGCTGTTCTTTCCCCATGTGAAGAACTGACCATCTGAAATAAAAACAGGGTAACTGAAATTACCTTTCACAAAAATAACCTCATTAGAGCAATACAGTTGCCCAGTAAGATCATTTGTTAGTTGCTCCCCCTCAACCTACCAAACTCTCCTGAGCGCAAGGGGCAGAGACACTTCATGCTATGAAGACTGCCAAAACCAAAACTCCCACTTGTCATTACAACAGAGAGGTAAACTGAGTCTTACTGCCCTTCAAAGGCTATTAACATTTATACAAAGAAAAGAAAAAATTAAATGTTTAAGTCAATTCAGTTGTGAAGAGGCCAATTACCAGGCTTGGATCCACTAAGGGAGCTGAACTAGTTCTAAACACACCAAGATCATGAAACCCAGGGCTCAGGAGGTCCATCTTTCACCTGGACTATCTCACAGAGCATTGAGCATAACATGTTGGTACAGATTTCCCTTCAAATTTATTCTAACACAGAATATAGTATTGTTTGCTGACTTAGGTTTCCCTAACTCCCTCCTTTTCACTTATTTGGGAGCTTGATATGGAATATCACTTGAGAGTGACTATAGCTAAGAAAAACCAATCTTCTGTATGTTCAAGAGCACTGAGATTCAGTCCTGTCTCCTTCTCATCCTCCCCTGAGAGAGCGATGACCGCCTTCTTCACTGTCTACACCCCGAAAAACGTATGAGCTGCACAAAGACTGTCTCAGAAACACCACTGTCCAACAGGAGTGCATAGACCCTAACCAGTGAGTTAAAAGTGTCCAGTTAGATATCATATACAAATGCAAAGAGAAATAGTTCTCAAATTAACATAACATTAGCATACATTTCAATGTTATATTACCAGCTGCAAGAGCCAAGCAATGCCAGTTGCCACAGGAAACTTGTAATATCGTCTGCTGGTTCAGCTTTTGTATTAACCTAAAACAGAAAAGGCTTTCTTCTTAAGAAGGCATTCACAGTGATCAGAAATATTCCCAACAGTTGTAATAAATAACATCTTTCCTAAAAGACTTTTTAAAATCAAATGCATAATCTTACATGATATAGTTCTGTTAGGTCTTTCACTAACTTCCTACCTCTTAGGCAGTTACTATTAAGAACAAAACAGAACAAAATGAAAAATACATCTGCACTTAAACCCATTGCAACACTCTGTTAATTACCATCTTGAGGGGGAAATGGAGTAAACTATAGAAGACAGATCCCTAGGCATCTGTCTTCTGCTGTCTATTTGGTTTTCAAAATGAGGGCAATGCAATGCAATGATCCAGCAATCTCACTTCTGGAGGAATAGCTAAAAGAACTGAAAGCAGGGTCCCAAAGAGATATCCATACACCCATGTTCAGAATAGCATTATTCGCAATGCCCAAAAGGTAGAAACAACTGAAGTGTCCATCAACAGATGGAACAGAATGGAAAAACAAAATGTGGTGTATTCATATAAGGGAATATTAAATCGATCTTCAAAAGAATGGGAATTCTGGCATATGCTACAGTATGGATGAAACTAAAGGACATTATGCTAAGTGATATAATCCATTAACAAAGGGGCAAATACTTTATGAATGCACTTATGAAAGATATCCAGAGTAGTCATATTCATACAAATCAAGTCTGATGCTGCTTGCCAGTGGCTGGGAGAGAAAAAATGGGGAGCTGTTATTTAAGGGATAAAGACTAATTTTTGCAAGATAAATGTCTGCAATTTCTGGAGATTGTTTACACAACTATGTAAATATACTTAACACTACTGAGCTATACACTTAAAAATGGTTAAGACGCAAAATTTTATGTGAGGTGTATTTTGCCACAATTTTTAAAAAATAAGGACAAAACCTAAATTCCCTAGGATAGTAAAGAGGAAGATCGTAGAGTACTTTTCAAATCCTGCTCCTGTGCTTGTTCATGTGAAACACAGGGACAAGAACAGTACTTATTTCACAGGGTTGTAGTAAAAAAAAATAAAGAAAAGAAATCCATGTAATGGTGCTTCGTGCTGCCCCACAGATTTGGGCACCTGGGAATATCTCCCGCTCTCTATTGTAACAGCTTGCAAGTTGCCATGATCTTCTTCATTAAGTCAAGGAGTCAGATGGACACGCTCTCAGGAGAGGGGCATCTTGGAACATAGATGCCCAGTGGGGGAGGAGGAGATTATTTCAAGTGACAAGCAGATATTACCTTTGTTAATGTTTTATTTTCTCAGATATGAAAAGATTATAAAACAGAGTTCACATATGCATTTAGTATCAAATAGAGCCCAACTATTTTTTATTGAGGTAACTGTAGATTTACATGCAGGTGTAAGAAATAATACAGAGAGAGCCCTTGTATACTTTGTCCAGTTTCCCCCAGTGGTGACATTTTGTGAAACTATCGTATAAAATCATAACCAGGATACTAATATTAATACAATCTACAAATCTTATTCATACTTCCCCAGTTTTATTTGTACTCAATTCTGTGTATTAATTTTACCACCTGTGTAGGTTCGTGTATCCACCACCATCAAGATACTGAGCAGTTTGAACACCATAAGGATTCCTCACGCTGTACTTTTATAACCACTGCTCCCCTCCCCATCCCTAACCCCTGACAGCCCCTAATCTACCCTCTATTTCTAAAATTCTGTCATTTCAAGAATGTTACATAAATAAAATCATATAGTAGGCAACCTTTTGGGATTGGCTTTTCCGCCTCTCGGAATAATTCCCTGGACATTCATTCACGTTGTACAGGTATCAATAGTTTGTAGAACCCCACTATTTTTTAAAATTGGAAAATGCATTACTGCCTAGGGGATCAACGTTTCGGAAATTTTATGCAATAACAGCCCTTTTTTTCCTGGCCAGTTTCCACTCAAATTCCCCACGATTCTCCCTTTATGGGTCAACTGCTACCCTTATCACAATCTTCATAATCACAGTTACAGAAAGGAAGCAGGTCAAAAGAACAAAGAAACAATAGGGAAATGATAGGCTTGAGGTGGACAGGAGGGATATATAAAGAGTGCCAGCATATAATGTGTTTTACCTAAGCATCTCATTCTCTCCTCCCAGTAACTTCGTAAAGGTACACAATACATAACTCCATTTTTAAGTTAAGAAATCGAGGCCTAGATAAGTTAAACAATTTGCCCAAGGTCACTCACCTATTTAATAATAGTACCAGTATTAGAATGGGAGGGCTGTTTGACTTCAAAGCTATGTTACTTTCCACAATACTAGGGTATGGATTAAGAAATTAACTTCAATTAAGTTTTAACATAAAATTATACATAAACCAAAGCCTCAGAAGTCATCCTTAATTTAGACATGACTAATGAAAATTCAAGTGTTACTATAACACAGGTTACTTCATTTTTAGAAATGAAATGCCACTAAAAATCTTTGAGTCTCTGGTCATCAACAAGTAAAATTTTTTTTTTAAAGATTTTATTTATTTGACAGAGAGAGACACAGCGAGAGAGGGGGAACACAAGCAGGGGGAGTGGGAGAAGGAGAAGCAGGTTTCCCACTGAGCAGGGAGCCCGACGTGGGGCTCGATCCCAGGACCCCGGGATCATGACCTGAGCCGAAGGCAGACACTTAACAACTGAGCCACCCAGGTGCCCCAACAAGTAAAATATTTTTGTCAGTGACGTTATGAATCTTTTCCTTAATATTCACATAATTTCATTAAAATATATACAGTGCCCTTTTTTCTTATTGCCACTCTCTCTCTTCCCCAAAATTCAACTGATTTTTGGAAAAATGAATCCAAAATACTACCTGTTCTAAGTCAGGAAATGAATCAAATCACTCTTACCTCCATGTTCCTCTTTTCCTTAAAACAGCTTTTGATTAAAGTTACAAAAATCTAAGAAGGGCAAAAAAGGAAGAGGAAGAAGAGTATTTTGTCCTTTAAAGGGGACAATAATTGGGCAGGGGAGGAGAGGCCATTTATTAAACAGCCTTGTAATAAGCAATAAATGTGCTGGACACCTTTAACAACGGTGATGCAAAAATGAATAATCCAGGTCTCATGTCATCAAAAGTTCCCAGCTTTGTCTGACAGTTATTAAATAAACAATTACAGTGAACGTGACAAGTACAACAGCAGGGGTGTGCTCTATGTTTGTAATATAAAAGGGCAGGAATTAAGTGATGGAAATAAACTAGTGGCCTCTTTGATCACCAAGAATCTCCACAAACTGAGACTCCACCCCCTAAGAAGAGCATGTGGAAGTAACTTCAGTATTTTGGATGTTTACTTAGTGCTGAAGCATCTGTTAGATACTTTATTAAGTCATCTAAGATTCAGAAATTAAATAAATGTTTAAGAGTCTCAAAACCACTGTATTAGTATTTTGTGTTAAAAAAAAAAAAAACTTTTGGGGGGCGCCTGGGTGGCTCAGTTGGTTAAGCGACTGCCTTCGGCTCAGGTCATGATCCTGGAGTCCCGGGATCGAGTCCCGCGTTGGGCTCCCTGCTCAACAGGGAGTCTGCTTCTCCCTCTGACCCTCTTCCCTCTCGTGCTCTCTATCTCTCATTCTCTCTCTTTCAAATAAATAAATAAAAGCTTTAAAAAAAAAAAAAAACTTTTGGGGTTGCCTGGGTGGCATCTGCCTTCAGCTCAGGTCATGATCCCAGAGTCCTGGGATAGAGCCCCGCGTCGGGCTCCCTGCTCAGCGGGAAGCCTGCTCCTCCCTCTCCCACTCCCCCTGCTTGTGTTCCCTCTCTCACTGTATCTCTGTCAAATAAATAAAGTCTTTAAAAAAAAAAAAGAAAAAAACTTTTGTATATTTGGTATTTTAGCTGTTCGTAACACTCATAATGGCTATTATTAGAAAATGGGTCAAACTTTTGATTCTAGTTTAGAGTCCTTAATTGAGTAATTGATTTAGGCTTACAATTTTAAGTTAAAGGTTAGTAAGTCCAGCAAGAGAAAAGATGCTTCTTTTATTTAAACATTTATTGAATTCCAAACACTATGCTAACAACTAAGTTACTAGAATAAATAAAGTACAATTCCTGAACAACTCACATTTTTTAATGGAGAAAGACACGTCTATAAATAATTACAATTTTTGTGACAAATGCTATAAAGTATTAAGGCACAGTAGTGGTACCCCCCCAAGAAAACACAAAAAAACAACAAAAAAAACAAACCAGCAATTAAATAAAGAAAACAGAACTATAACAAGGATTCTAACAAAGCAAGAGCAGGAAAGAGTATTTGTAAAACTGACATCTGAAAACTCAGATTCCTGTCTGTGTCATTCTTACCTGGGCACTGCCACCGAATCCTCAGTAGTCATGAGTCCTAGTTGACCATCACTCCCTGCACCCCAAGAAAACAGCTGGCCCCGGTCACTGAGGGCCAGGCTGTGCGACTCGCCACATGCCACATGGACAATGTGCTGATCTGCCAAAGCTCCAATTTGCTCTGAAAGAGACCAAAGCAAGGAGGAAAATGTAGAGCCTAGAAAGAGGAATCACACAAGACTTTCTTACACAGAATTATCCTTCTAGGCAGTTTTGTTTTTCAAAAAGAACCACTAAATCTGTATATTTATACAGATTATAAATTTCATACATTTCTACAAGCTATCAGTTTAGATCCCAGCTACACTGGGCAGCATATATGCCTGTAGCAGCACATACATCCCAGATAGTCCCCCATGGGCCTGGTGCTTCTCTCCAGGGAGAAGCCTGAAAGTTTACTATTGGGAGATATTGAACCAGAGAGGCTCAAATGTGAGTGGGAATGAGGCATATTATTTAAACCAGTGGGACTGGTAAAATTCTGCTTGGGAACAATAAGACTCCTTTCCCAGAGCCCTCCCTCCCTAATCCAGAAAATACCTTTCTCTCCAAGGTTCCAGAACACAGCCTCATACATAATATCTAGCCGAGAAAAAGGAGGATTTCTCTGGGGGAAAAAAAAAAGGCCCAAAAGAGAAGATCCACAGATACATCTGTGGGTCCCCCAGTGAAATGTCCAGCTTCCTGTGAGTTAACAAGCCCTGCCCTCACACAATTCCACTCACATTTTAGAACCGCACTCTTAAATATAAAAGGCTGGGCACAGTACTTTCCTCACATATGAGGAAAATGCTAACATTAAAGAAAAAAAAGAAAAAAAAACAGAAAATGAACTCAGAAGATAAGGATCATGCTGGGAGCAGAAAAAATATCTAAGCTGTTAGAAAAAGAGAAGATAAGGACCATTCAAACATTTGAGGAACAAAATCATCTTAGAAAATGAAAATATGGCAGCATAAATTTAAAGACAAAAACCTTTCAAAAACAGATTGGGAAATAAAAATTGAAGAAATTCCCACAACTATATGGTCAACTAATCTTCAAAAAAACAGGAAAGAATATCCAGTGGAAAAAGTCTCTTCAACAAATGGTGTTGGGAAAATTGGACAGCAACACGCAGAACAATGAAACTGGACCATTTTCTTACACCATACACAAAAATAAATTCCAAATGGATGCAAGACCTAAATGTGTGACAGGAAACCATCAAAATCTTAGAGAATACAGGCAACAACCTCTTTGACCTTGGCCAGAGCAACTTCTTACTAGACATGTCTCCAGGGGCAAGGGAAACAAAAGCAAAAGTGAACTATTGGGACTTGATCAAAATAAAAAGCTTCTGCACAACGAAGGAAATAGTCAACAAAACTAAAAGGCAACCTACAGAATGGGAGAAGATATTTGCAAATGACATAGCTGATAAAGGGTTAGCATCCAAAATCTGTACTTATCAAACTCAACACCCCAAAACCAAATAATCCAGTTAAGAAATGGGTAGAAGACATGAATACACATTTTTCCAAAGAAGACATCCAGATGGCTAAGAGACACATGAAAAGATGCTCAACATTCCTTGGCATCAGGGAAATACAAATCAAAACCACAATGAGATACCACCTCACACCAGTCAGAATGGCTAAAATTAACAAGTCAGGAAACAACAAATGTTGGCAAGGATGTGGAGAAAGAGGAACCCTCTTACACTGTTGGTGTAAATACAAACTGGTGCAGCCACTCTGGAAAAGAGTATGGAGGTTCCTCAAAAAGTTAAAAAGAGAACTAACCCTATGATCCAGGAATTGCACTACTAAGTATTTACCCAAAGGATACAAAAGTACAGATTCAAATGGTTACATGCACCCTGATGTTTATAGCAGCGTTATCAACAATAGCCAAACTATGAAGAGAGCCCAAATGTCCAACAACTGATGAATGGATAAAGAAGAAGTGGTATATACATACAATGGAGTATTACTCAGCCTTCAAAAAAAATGAAATCTTGCCATTTGCAATGATGTGGATAGAACTAGAGTGTATAACGCTAAGTGAAATAAGTCAGTCAGAGAAAGAGAAATACCATATGATCTCACTCATATGTGGAATTTAAGGAAGAAAACAGATAAAGATACGGAAAGGGGGGAAAAAGTAGAAAGGGAAACAAACCATAAGAGACTCTTAACAATAGAGAACAAACAGAGTGGATGAAGGGAGGCGAGTGGGGGACAGATATTAAAGAAGGCACTTTTTGTGATGAGCACTGGGTGTTGTATGTGAGTGATGAATCACTGAATTCTACTCCAGAAAGCAATATTGCCCTGTATGTTAACTAAAATTTAAATTAAAAAAAAAAAAAAGAATTGAAGAAATTTTCTAAGAAATAGAACAAAAAGACAAAGAGCAAAACAGAGGGGGTTAAAAAAGAAAGAAATGAGGGGATTATTTCAAGAGGTCCAATAATGGAAAAATAAGAATTCCATAAAGAAGATGGGGAAAATACAAGATAAAAACATTTCAAAGAAGAAACACAAGAAAAGTTCTCATAAGGACTTAAATTTCACATTGATAGGACCTGTGAGGGACTCAGAATAATGACTGATGAAAGACCTACTTCAGAGGACATCTTGACATTTTAGAACACCAAAAAAGACTCTCAAAGTTTCTAGAAAGGAAAACAGTTTATATACAATAGAACAGGGATCAGAATAGCATTAGATTTCTCAGAAGCAATACTGAAACCTAGAAGACAATGGAGCAATGCCTTCACAATATTGAAGGAAAATGACCTCCAACTGCGAATTCTATATCTAACTAACCATGAATAAAATATGAGGAGAGAGGGGGAAAAGGAATAATTTTCAGGCATGTAAGGCTCTCAAAATATTTTACCTCCAATGCTGCCTCTCTCAGGAAGTTACCATAAGATAATGCCTCCTAAACAAAGGAAGATTCAGGATCCAGGAAACAAATCTTACATAAGAAGAGGTGAAGAACATTTCCAAAACAGCTATAATGTAGCAGGCCCATGAGCAAAGCTGAAGGAATGTCTCCAAGGTGAAAAGTGAAATACAATCTGATGAGTTTTATATTGTTATGAGTTTTACAGTTCTGTCAGAGAATACAGAGGTTACTATGCAAAAGAAAAAAAAAGATATAATTAACTCCAGGAAATACATAAAATGTCTTACAGGAAATAAAAGCAATCATTGAACACAGAACCATAAAAACCAAACAAATGTAATATACATAATCAAAAATTTAATTGTCAATTGATTTCAGCAATCAATTATTTGGGAAAGGATGAGTATCTAGGGGTGAGGGGAAGGAAAGAGTAGACGGAGAATATAAAGGAATGCTAATCTTCCCCAATGTCTCTACATTATGTCCAATACTGAAAAAAAAAAAATCAAGAAACAGCATAAGTGTGTCATTTAGAAAAGATAAATATTAAAAGAAAGAGCTAAAATTGTTGACAGAAATGGTCTCTGCTAGTGAAACTGCAGGGGAGGCAGGGAGCGTCTGTTTGACCTAAAGATAGTCTGTATAAATATATTACTTGGAAACAAAGTTTTTATTTAAATTAAGCAACTGAAAACACGCTCATGTCAGAGAAATCTCCTAAAAGATGCTTTAACTCCTGTAGTTCCCATTGCCCAACTTCTTTAACCTCTATTCACTATTAGACCCTATATCCCAACTCAGCTTTGCCTCACGCACTAGGAACAGTCCTGTCTTTATTTTGGAATAAGGTAAGAAACTCCTACTGAAGTACGTTGGGTGATTCAGACTCTACTCCTCTCACCAAATATCCACCCTGTACCACAGTTCCAGGATTTGGGCAGCTTTTATGTCCTCCTGGGCCTGGGTATCTGGCCTGACACCTCAGCCATGACTGAGGCCTGGTCCCTAATACCTGACTTCCTACGCCAACCATTAGCCTTTCCTGCCCGGATGTAGCATTCAGCCTAATGTGACACTAATAAGTTTCTCCACTGTCTTGACAGGATGCTCTCTACCTGACCTGCCACTATGTTCTTGCCTCAAAACCTGTCAATAGCATCCCTCTTGATCTTGTTTACCACAGCTGAACAGCCTCAAAAGGGCACAGTAAAACCTACAACAAACCAATTCCCGTCCCATCACGTATTAGCCATCAAACCACCATTGCCACAACAAAACCTACAGCCCCAAAGGCAACATTCAGTAATGCAAAAATTTGTGAAGAATCAAACCGGTGACTGCACCAAGTCCAACTTATTTTATTTCTTCTAGCCAGAAAACTAAGCTCATCTGATTCAGACTGGGGATCTGTTACAGTGAAATTATAATCCCTCTTCTAGAATCCATTCCCTAGGTCAGGCCAACAACGTGGGAATGAATGCTTCATTCACACCTCTCCCTGAACACTCCCCTGCTCCAGTTGGGAACATTCAGGCTGCAGTACATATTTTCACATGCAGTCTCTCTGGTTCATTCTGTCAAGACTCTATGCTATATTTTGCAGATCATGACAGAACCTCAACCCACACATTAAAATAATTAAACGCACTGAATAAATATTTGGCATTTTTTGAGGATAAAAGTATATTTTCTCTCTGATCCTCTCATAGCAACCCTTTCAAGTCTTTAACAGTCTTTAGCAATGTTCTCAACTCAGAATGAGCCAAGGTAATAGGAATGAGCAAGGTAAAAGGAATGAGCCAGAACAGTGGCAAATGTGGAGTGCTGCTTGAACAAGTCAGCAGTTCAACTGGACTTATGTTATTACGATTATTTCTACTTGGTTTTTGAGCCTACGAAGTTTTAAATGTATTTTCAGGTTAATAGTGAATTGGGCATTAAACCATCAAAGGGTGGCAATAGAGAAGGATGGTATGAGCCTAGAGGGTAGATGTATGATGCCAACACTTAATCCTGCAACAACACTGTGAGGCAGGGTTATAATAAGCCTCAACTCAGAAAACATATGTAATTTGGCCAAGATTCACAACTAATGAGTGGAGAAACTAGAATTGGATCCCAGGTCCTTCTGACTTCGGAGCTCATTGTACCCACGAGGCTGTATTACATTCTGTCATGGAAAAAGATTAGACAGATATGAAACTGGTAAAAGTAACAATGAAG